AATAGCCAAAATAGACTAATAGCATGGCGTGTTCAACATTATCTGATTTCGTCTTATTATCTGTAATAACTACTTTTTTAACGCGTACTAAAACTAATTATTCGAGTCTAAAAATCTCCCCGTCTCAAAAATGACCAGTCGTGTGTACGCAATTCCCCTTTCAGCCTCATGCCAGCCTCCCAGATAACAACCCCAAGAACAAGACAACTCTACGAATTTGGTGTTCCCTCATTGATTTTTGTTAGTTTTGTGGAAAACGCATATTCTTCAAGATCTACGAACTCTGGGCTTAGCATGGATCGTTCTAGATACCGTTACTCGAGGACGAGTCGCTCGTTCTCTGAGGGGTACCACCATCTAGGACTTGTGGGAGACAGCCAGGATGCAATTTCACCCTCTAGTGACGACAGTTTTTTGAACGATGTAACCGGCATAGTTGGGGAAGATTCATCTGCTGATGGAGCTGTTATCCGCGCATTTGCTCTTCCTTCCGACAGAGCTGGGCGTTCTGGATCACGTTCAAGAGATACCAAACAATCCCATAAGTCAAAACCGGTGGACAAAAACGTGTGTCCATTTGGATGTTGTGTGACTGAAAGTCTCGGAAAATACGTGTTCCAATCGGGGCTTCTTGATGGTCTTTATTCGGATGTTACTATAGAGGCTTTTGGCGAGACTTACAAGCTGCATAAGCTACTTCTCCACAAATCCGGCTACTTCAGATCGCTTTTTGAATGGAAGAACATCGCCGAAGAATCAGGCACCAAGGATGATAGTGACGAAGAAAATGTGGCAAGCGCATCATCTAAGGATTATTACAGGCTTGAATTTGACGATTCGAAGATCACGAATGCGGCGTTCAAGCTGGCAACATCTAGACTATACGGCTCGCCCCACGAAAAACAAGAGCGCGAAATCCCTCAAAGCATGATTGCCATTGGTCAGTATCTGGGTATGCCTGATGTGGTTTGCCATTGTACCAACTACATCGTGAACTCCATGAACATGGATAACGTGGCTGAGAACCTACAGTTTGCGACGCAAAAGAACTACGGCAGTGCGAGTAGCAAGATTGTGGAATGTGGTAAGGGAATCCTTTGTTCTGACGGCTGGCAGGTTGGTGCCGAAAGGTGGGACGGTATTCCTGCTGAGATAATAGCGGAGGTTGTGGGTGAAGATTACTTTTTCGTGCCCAGTGAGTGGGACAGGTGTATGTTCATAATCAAGCTGATAGAACAGAGAACGATGTCGCCATTGCATTCTAGAACTCCATCCAGAAGAGGCTCCAATGTGACTGTCAGTGAAGCTGACTCTCTGAAAGACTCTGGCCTATCTGAATCTCAGGCAGATTCAGATAGTGAAGAAGAGGATGAAGAGGTGGTTGCGTTGAGAGAAGCATTGAACTCTAAGGTGCATTTTTGTCATCTTTCTCCTGAACAGCTCCAAGATTTAGAGGGCTTCTATGATATGAACGGACTACCATATGTCGATCCTCATGTTTTGAGGACTGCTCTGTGGCAGGGTATCTACCTCCAAAGGAAGATCGTTACCAGCCATGATGCACCTCAGCTTGGACTCTCAATTCAGAGTAATGAGGAGCCGGAAGATGGGACAAAATGGTATAGCGTTCCCACTCAGGATGAGACCTGGTCGGCATTGCCATCACAGCTTTCGAAATTTCTCTTCAAGCATTCTGCTGGAAGAGCAGCAGATGGTCTTTCCAGCTCTGACTCAGATCTTATGGATGCAAAGACTACAGATGTGAAGGAAGGCGTGGTTCCCAGGTGGACCAATCTTCCACCTTTCAGGTTTTCTGTCGCCTTTGCAAATATCTCAGATCTGTCCAAAGACATGAGGATTTACGGGAAGACATTTTGGTATGCGGGATCATATTGGAATCTGTATCTTCAAAAGAATCACATGGAGACCAGGGATTCGTACCAGGTAGGTGTTTATTTACACAGAGCAAATAGTTCGTCGCCTGGACCATCCAGAAATGGTATCCCGAACCCAGACATCTTTGCCGGAACTTCAAACTACTCTCAGCCGCCAAGGCGCTATACTGGACACAAGCAGAGCTTTGCAGAAGGCTCTCGCGCCCGGCAAAGCCCTGTTCCTATCAGCTTGACTGAATCTCTTGTGAGAGAAGATGGAGAAGAGGATGGCGAGACTTATGACGAAGACGTGTTTCAAAGTTTTACTGGCTTGCATCTGAACCCAGTTGAGCCAGCTAGACCGAACCGGCTGCAGTCTCCCCAAGAAGAGGGGTTTTCCAAAAGGTTGGAATCTCATAACGACAGGTCGTTTTTGACCTACGAAGATACAAGAACATCGATCCGGGTCTATTTTGTTATCTTCACGCCCAACAGAAAGACGAGACCTTTGATTACGTCGTTCCTGTCGGTGCCAAATGACTTCAACAGGTCTCAAAGTTGGGGATGGAAAAGCAACAGCATGTGTGTGTTCAATGAGGATGGAACGTTTCCTGAGGGCCACGATCCAAATATGAAGTTTACGGTTGTTTTGGGTGCGATTTAGGTACAAACATATTATCGCCCAGACATTTCTCACTAGATAAGCTTTCCCTATGCAGCTTGTACGATCAATTGAGCTTACGAATTATTAGAAATTAGACCAACGGACCCAGTTGGTTTCCATTTCAAACCCACTCAAAGCCCCAAGAGAGCTTTTCACCAGGCATGAACGGAGCAACGACAAGCTCGCCTTCGCCGATAAGCTCTGGTACTGTAGTCTCCTTCTTTACCAAAACAACTTGTTGCTGAGATTTGAGATCTTCTTTCTTGACACCGTAGAAAGCATTACCAAAATCACTCACAAATCCTTTCAATTTGTCCAAAGCATTCTTTTGGTCAAAAACCTCGGCCAGATAAGACAGGGAGTGGGATTGAGTGTAGACTCCTGCGCATACACCAACGTGCCTGGCCTTCCCACTGAGAGGATGGGGAGCTGAGTCTGAACCAAAGAAAAAGTATGGCTTTCCAGAAACGGCAGCATCGACAAGAGCTCTCTTATCTGAAGGAAGTTTGGCAACGGGCTTACAAAAGTTGATTGGATTTCCAGCCCAACTGTCTATCGTCAGGTAGAGATGGTGAGCAGTGATGGAAGCAGCAACAGTGATAGGATCCTGAGGATTCCTCGAGGCATTGATCTCGTCAATGGCTTCTATAGCAGCTTTTGTGGTGCAATGTTCCAAAACAATTTTGAGCTTGGGGAAATCCTGGTGAAGCTTGAAGAGGGCAGGCAGGAACTTGGGCTCTGCGTTAAGGACATGGATATCTTCAGAGTCGTCGTGATTGTCGGTGTCGTTTGCAATTTTGGTGGAAGGCTTTTCTCCGTGCAGATTGAGAACGAGTCCATATTTCTCCATCACCTCAAATATTGGGTAAAAATCACTGAAATCATTGGGGTCAACTCCAGCACTGGAGTTGGTGGTGACTCCTGCTGGATAGCACTTGATTCCCCTGATTGCCTTTTCCTTGGCTGCCTTCTCCACAAGCTCCGGAGTAAGATCTCTGGACAGATAGAAAGTCATCCAGAACGTTGTCTCGGGTGCAGCCTTCTGTAGCGCCGCCTTGTACTCATTGACCCTCTCAATGGTGGTGATTGGTGGAACCAGATTAGGCATAATGTACGCCAGAGATACGCCTCCCTCGCGCACCGTAGGCGCAACCAGCTCCATCATGGCGCCATCACGAAGATGCACATGGAAATCAGATGCGTTTCCAAGCTCGATCTTATCGGACATATCTTGGTGTATTTGGTGGGTTTGGGCCTTTGTGAGCTTATCGGAGAGAGTTGCCTGAAAAATTTTGGCTGGCGATGAGCTGACTTTTTCAGTCCCCTTTACTAAGAAAAAAGTATGGTAGCTTTCTAGCGCCTCGCTTATTCCAACGAAATTCAGTGAAATTTAACATGCCAGAAATGCCAGAAGACAACATTATTGTTGCTCCTGCTCTTTCCACCGCCCAGGACGAGCAGGAGGTGTTCATGAGGTTTAGCGAGAAGAGGCATGATAGGCCCCATCTCAATCAAGACGGAGTACACACAGACGAGGATCTCTTCAGAGCCATAAGCGATTACTACAGCATACCTGAGTTGGCTCAATATCTGTCTTCCCGGGGCTCGGGTGGAGAACTGACTTTTCAGAGTATCACTCTTCAGTTCCCAGATCATCTCATACAGGACTCGGCCATAGTGTCCAAAGAGCTTCAATCTCTTCTCTCGCACAACACCGGTTCCCAGGTCGAACTACACACGGAAACCAGCCCGAAGGAAAAGGAGCCTTGTGGAGGAGATTCTGGCTGCAAAAAGTGTGCCGATTGTGAACATGGGAGCGATATCGAGGACTTTGGTGCGAAGAGACAGAAGCTTTGGATCTTGGCCGATACCTCCTACTCAACCTGTTGCGTTGACGAAATTGCGGCAGAGCACGTTAACAGCGATGTAGTGGTTCATTTTGGAGATTCGTGTCTGACTCCAGTTGACAAATTGAAGACAGTGTACGTTTTTGGTAAAGCATTTTTGGACCACGATCAAGTGATCTCCAGGTTCAAAGAGACCTATCCAGACACAGACTCGAAGGTTGTGTTGATGTCAGACACAACTTATAGCCATCACTTGGAGCAACTTCATGAGGCTTTGTTGAGTGAATATCCACGGTTGGCCTATGCCGCTGTTCCACAGTATCAGGGAAAGGGTGCTATAATACCGACTCCCGAATGGCGCGAAGGAGGACTATCTATAGCCAATAGACTGCTACAGGGAATCCCAAAGGATGACTTCAATTTTTTGGATGAAGAAGATTATTCACAGGTTACCCTTGATTATCAGCTATTCCATATTGGTGAGCCACAGACGCCTCGTCTTCTTCTACTCTCTACCCTGTTCAGCTCTATAGTGCTGTATGATGTTGCCAAGCACACAACGTCGAACGGACCCTATCCTTCCTTACAAAGGAGATACAGATCTATGCATGTTGCCAGAACCGCTGGAACGGTAGGGATACTTGTGAATACTCTGTCTTTGGAAAACACAAAAACCGTCCTCAACACCGTCGTGAAATGGATCAGGAATGCTGGTAAGAAGCATTACATGTTCGTGGTAGGTAAACCCAACGTGGCGAAGTTGTCCAACTTTGAGGCTGTAGATGTGTGGTGTGTCTTGGGATGCAGCCAATCGGGGACCATTGTTGATAACTCTGGAGAGTACTACAAACCGATCATTACGCCATATGAGTTGAAGCTGGCACTAGCACCGGAGGTCACATGGACCGGCAAGTGGGTAACGGATTTCAAGTCTGTTTTGGACTTGGACGAAGATGAAGACATGAACGACACTCAGGAATCACCAGACCCGTACAAGGATGAAAGTGCACCCGAGTTTGATCCCGTTACCGGGAAATACATCTCCTCACACGCTCCTTTGAGGCAGCTCCAGCATCTTCAAATCGAAATCGGTGATGACGAACCACAAGCAGGACAATTGGTGAAAAAGTTGTCTTCTGCAGTAGCCATCAAGGGCACAGTATCCACTTCGGCAATCCAGCTCCAGTCGCGTGAATGGACCGGTCTTGGTAGTGACTACCAAAACGAGGACCAGGATTTTGACGAAGAAGGTGCTGTTGCCGTTGAAGGGAGGAATGGAATTGCCCGTGGATACTCCACTGGTGGTCAAAGGTACTAAGAACAGGAAGTCATCTTTTAGGTGTTTATTGCAAAATTAGTAGACTTAATATGCATATGCGCAAGGAACTTCACTCACGATACATGCAATCTTGATGCACGCCAGGCGCATGCATTTTTCGTGCGGCGTGGGTTTTGAGCCCTGGATCAACCTCGTGCCCGGTCCACACCTGAATCTGCAAAGCTCGTCTAAGCTTGCCACAAGGCGGAAGCAATATTGGCAACTAGCGGTATATATAATCCGAAGTTGAGTTTCAAATGGGTAATTCGTCGTCCAGGATATTGGACAGTCTGTCCACAGGAACGAATTGTAAGTTTGGCGGCCTGGAGATAACGAGGTTTGACGTCACAGATGACAGTACTAACTAGTTGAAACCAGTTGATAATGATGACATCAATAAGCTGGTGCGGATGTTCCTGAAGCTCGACAAGGACAGTTCCGGTGCCATTGATAAAGCTGAGTTCTTATCTATTCCTGGAATTGCGTCCAATCCCCTAGCCAAACGGGTGGTGGAGATATTCGATAAGGACAGAGGCGGAGATGTTGATCTGAAGGAGTTCATAGAAGGACTATCTATTTTCAGCAACAAGGCTGATCCTGAGGACAAATTGCTATTTGCGTTTAAGATTTACGACATTGATGGGGACAATTACATCAGCAACGGTGAGCTTTTCATAGTGCTGAAGATGATGGTTGGGGAAGGTTTAACCGACATTCAGCTGCAGCAACTGGTGGATAGGACGATTCTGGAGAACGACGAGGATCATGATGGGAAATTGAACTATGAGGAGTTTCGAAATGCGATTGACCGCACGGCTGTTGCTAATTCGCTGACGTTGGATGATTACTAGAAGCGTGCGATTGTATTAGTTTTCTTATGGATTTTTGGGCCACAGTTTGTAGTACTACCGTTGAACAGTACTTATATACATCATTAGGTCAGCTTTGACAATAAGTTGGCGAGATCGGTGTTCATCTCCTCGTTCGCCTCAATGTTGTGCTCGGCTTCGATGTCCTCGTCTGCGCCTGGATCATATCCCTCTTCTGGCTCTGGGGTCAATGAGCCCTTTGTCACCAACTCTGGCTCGTCTCCGTCCACGACAAGTTCCTCGCTCGCCAATTTGGCTTTCTTGGTGTTTGAGCTGTTCAGTTCGACAGACACGTTCTTTCTTTTGGAACCAGAATCATCGTCATCACTATCTGAAGCAGCGTACTGTGGAGCATCGTCATCATCGTCATCGCTCACCACTCCAGCTTCCTCTCCGCTTTCGTTATCAATGAAGTCTTTGAGCTCGTCCTGTTTCTGCTTTGTCGCCTTCAGTTGTAACTGCAAGTTCTCCAGCTTTTTCTCTTCGGTTTCCACCCAATGTTTCTGAGACTCCACCAGACGATTGAGTGCTGCCAGAATATCTTTCCTCACCTCTATCGCCTCCAACGTGTTATTTGAACAAACTAAGTTGAGCTTTTCCAGCTCTACCAATTGCGAGATGTACTTGTCTGGGGCTGGAAGATGCTCCGAATTGAAAGAAGCATCGTACAACTTTTTATGCTTCACAAGCTTCCCCGTATTGCTGGAGGTCTTTGTCGACAACTTATTGTACAAATTGGACACAGGAATCAGCTCAGGAGCTAAATCTGGCTCGTCGTCCGAAATGGGACTCTCCTTCTTCTTAGAAACGTTTTGGACTGCTTTCTCCACAATACTGACTGCTGAAGGATTTCCACCCTCAATTGCACCATAAAGGTTCTTGAAAATGCGATCGCTGAAAATAGCACGTTCTTTCCATACGCCAATAACCTTTTTGAACCTAGCTTGATCTTTGGCATTCAGACTCTGGAAAACCTCTTCCAAAACAGGCGGTAGAAACTCGCTGAAATACATTAGGAACTCAGTTCGCCTGTGTGCACGTGATTGCTGGATCACCTCATTAGCCAGATAGAAAAGAGCCAGCCGTTTTTTTGGAGTATTCTTCATCGCGTCTGACCATATGGACACCGTTTCTTTGGCATTCCGCTGGTGAAACAGACACCATTGTGCGATTGCCACGATGGATGCCTGGGATTCATCCAGTCGATCCAGCTTCTCTTCAACAGCTTCTCGGGAGTATGCCATTATTCTGGGAAATATATTAGTGAGCTATAGGAGGTGTACAGTGCTAAGCAGTTGTCTATCACGCAGATGAGAAAGGCATTTTCCTAGGGGGCCGTCAGAAATTGGCAGTCGTGTGCTTAGCCAATATTGGATCTTTCAACATTGTTTCAGTATCTTGCAATTAGGTTTCTAATTATAAACTGGAGAGTAGCTTGGATAAAGACACTGGATAAAACAATTGATGTCTAATGCATCAATACATTTCATAAAGGACAAGAAGATTGCATCTTCTTATAGTTTTGGCTAGTAGTGTTGGAACAAGTCAGGATAAGCCTATGTGCAGGAATCAAAAGGAGACTAAGGAAGTCGTGTATTGTTCCAATCTACTATCCCACTGCCCCCAGCTGCGATCCCCTTGATCAGCTTGACATTTCACAGCCTGTTATTACACATCTCTTCAATCAACTATACTTCAAATCGATCAGGTGATTCATCATAAGAACTCGAGGTACAAGCTCAGGATTGACTAGAGAGACGACTCGATTGGACAAAATGGCCGACGAATTCCCGGAAATACAGGACGTGGCAGACGTGGCAGACGTTGAAGTCGAAGGATCCACGCCTACTGATTTCCTGTCACGCGAAAAAGAACTTCTCGGTGACGAGTTTGCCACTGAGCAAGATGGTAACATTGCGCACGAAGATGCAGAATTCGAAGAGTTTGAAAGCAGTTTTCCAGCCGTGAGTTCCGCTCCTCAGTACGAGCAGGAAGAGGAAGTGGAGGAAGAAAAGGCCGAGGAAATACCAGTTTCCTCGTTTGGAAGTCTCAATTTGGATGAAAGCGAGCCAATAAAGGCATGGAAAGAAAGAAGAACGCTTGAAATTTCCAAAAGAGACGAGGTTGCGAAGGCTAGGGCAGAAGAATTAAAGGATGAAGCCAAGAAAGCCATCGACGATTTCTATGACAACTACAGCAGCAAAAAAGATATTTCAATCGAAGAGACTCGCAAGCAGGAAGATGCGTTTTTGGCCAAGAGAGACACGTTTTTGGAACGTGGAACCGTGTGGGATCGTGTGGTTGAGCTATTGGAGCTGACCAAGAACACCAATTCGGTGGACACCGCCAATCACAGAGACAAGACCAGGTTCAAAGAGTTGTTGCTTGCTTTAAAGGGCAAAGAGAATGTACCAGGAGCCGCTGGTTATTAGATGTTGTTGTCTTGAACTGACTAGTTATATTAAAGTAGTGTGACGACCCAACTAAGTCTCCCACACTTCAAAAGCCGTAAAAGAGTACTACTCAATTCTGTCCAAACGTAAACGATAATATCAAGCCATAAGCAATTCTTATCAAAAGTGTCCAATCATCACCAGTTTCTTTCGTTTCTTGCCTAATCCTCATCCAATCACACTCGTGGTTCGACCCACCGTGTTTTCAGATAATTCCGAAGTGTGGGCACCCAAAGGGTTACCCTCCCGAATATACCATGCCCTTCGGGTTATCATCACAACTCCACTTTAGAACAGGAAGATACCCCTTTGATGGCCAAAACACCTCTTCTTCTCTTTCCAGAGTGAAATCCCCGTTTTTGCTCGTGAGAAAAAAGTTTTTGGACTGCAATTTGTCGTTAAGTCCAGCATTTTGGTCGCAGCTTGTTTCCAGAGGTTATTGTCTAGCTAGATTTCGCACTAAGGTTTGATCTACTGGTGTGGAGCAGTTCTACTCCCAGTAAGAAAACTCCGTTGAAATTTCGCCGATAGATTGAAAATCTTGGAGGTTACTGTAATCAAGGTGATAAGAAACTTGATTTTTCACGGAAAACTGGGGTCAATACCGAGGATCATACACAACATACGCTTCCATAATGGAACAGGGATTCATGTATCAGTGGCAGTCGGAGCTGTCGTTTGACGACAGACGCAAATTTGTTGCAATGATCTGTCGTACCCTCTCGGAGGTCCAGGGGGCCGGTTTTTCAGCTCCAGTTGCAAAACAGGAGGCGATTGCCTTCGAGAAACATGCCTACGATGCTTCTTCCTCTAAAAGAGAGTATATAGATTTTCTGAAGCAGAAGTTGATGTCTATCAGACACAACACTGACAATTCTGGCGCAATGCATAATATGAATGGTGTTCAGATGAACATGCCTCAATTTGTGGGGAACTCCAACACCAATAATGCCAATATGATGAGCCAAAACGATGTTCAGGGCATCGACCAACGTGAGTTTCTGTTGAAACAAGCCCAAATGCGCAATAACCAGGGCGGAATGATACAAAATCCACAAATGGGCCAGATGTCCCAACAGCAACAACCTCATCAGCAGAATATCCCTCAGCAGCAACAACAGAACATCCCTCAACAGCATATACCCCAGCAACAGCAACAGCGAAACCCTCAGCTTGCAGCTGTACCCGGAACTGTGAATGTTAAAAACTTACCAATTCCCGAGGCTTTGCTCAAGAGAATCCAAGGCCTCCCTCCAGGAGTCAATACGTGGCCCCAGATCATGGCTTTAATCCAAAGACGCCAGTTCTCGCCTCAGACAATCCAGGTGATCAAACAGGTACATGCCCTACACACCCAATTGGTGGCATCGAAAAGCCAACAGGAGTCGACAATGATGAGTATTGCGAATAACGCAGACACTTCATCTGCTCCTACTGCCAATTTGAATGCGCAAGTTTCAGGCGTTCCAAATCCACAACAGGTGTTGAACCAGGCTAATGCTCAACAGATGATGCAGAGGCAACAAATGATGCAAGCCAACAACCAAAAGAGAATGGTTCAGCAACATCCTCAACAGTCCCAGCCTGTGGGGCAGAGAATGATGAACAATCAACACGTTCCTGTTCAACAGCAAATGAAGCAAGCACCTCAGCATGTTCCTATGCAACAACCTCAGCAGGATATGAATGGTCTGAATATTTCTCCCACGATGAGGCAGGTTCCGCCACAACAATCGCAGCAACAGGCTGGTCCAAACCAGGATGCCCCTATGAATGAACAGCTGATTGCAGAGCTGAAGCAACAGGCGATGCAGGTTTTGCAAACGTTGAAGGCAAACAACAAGGTTCCTCCAAACCTGACTCCTCAACAGCAACAGCAGTTTATCAAGAAGTTCATCTATTTCCAGTATAACCAACGGAAGCAGCAGCATCAGCAGATGGGTGCCGAAGGTATTACTGCCAACCAACAGCAGATGAACTCTCAGCCCAGAAGCAGAGGGTTCAGTGGTAATGCAAATATAATGGCTCCAGGAATGGGAGATGGTTTCCAGTCTATGGCTGGTATGAATGTCAAACAACCATTGGGGATGGGTGGTCTGCCTCAGCAGCCGCAACAGCCTCAGCAACCTCAGCAGAGATGGAATAACACCAATCCAAATGCTGGAATCCAGCAGCAACAGCAGCAACAGCAGCAACAGCAGCAAAAGCCTCAGCAGTTCAATGGCCAATTTCTCAACATGGGAGGTCAGATGCAGCAGTCCCCAGTCTTGCCTCAGCAGCAGTTGCCTACTACTCAAAATTCGCGTGCCAACTCTAGGGGAAACGTTCTTGGTCAGCAGCATATGTTACAGCAGCAGCAACAACAGGCACACCAGCAGGTTCCTATTTCTTCGGGTATGAACCATTCTGGCCCGGCCCACCAAAACCTGCTTCCCGGTATCGTTGCTACCGAAGACGATTGGAGGCAGTTGAGGGCCATATATGACGAAGTACATGGATTGCCAATAAACCTGAAGAATGTCACAAATGAACTGAACCAGGATCAGAAACAACAGGTTTTCCAGCATGCGAGGAATGCGGCTCAGCTGGCTTCGCTCACTGACAATTTGATTCCGAACTTCTACTTTGCAACCAAAAACGCAGAAGGAACCAAGCGGTTGATTCACATGAAGTTTATGATTAAGCAGATTATCGAGGGCTTGAAGAGAAGCGAGTATGTGGCTACTCCAGATCTGATTCAAAAGATAATGAGCCAGATTCAGAGGTACCTTGGATATGTTCGCGAACAGCAGAAGATATTTGCCCAACACATGAACTTGAACAAAGCCCCAATGGCACAGCAGCAGTCTGCCAAGCCGGTGAGTCAGATTCAGGTGCAGCAGAACTTCATGCAGCAGCAAAACATGGCTGCGAACAGGAACGTCGGGGTGTCTCAGCAACAACAGCGTGTTCAGCAACACCAGCAACCGCCCCATCAGCAGATGGGAATGGGTATGGGTATGGGTATGCCTCAAGGTCCAAATGACAGAGGGCAGCCCTCTGTTTTTGATGCTGCTGGTTCCGGGCTGATGGCAGTTGATCCTACTTTCCAGCAGATTCCCTCCCAGGGTTTAGTTGATGCTTCTATGATCGCCATGGATATCCCCACCCAGAAATCTGATGTTTCTGATAGTGCGATGGTCCATCCAGCGCAGAAAAAGAATGTTCCAGGAGCCAGGCGTAAGTCCAAAGCTCCTGCCCCTCGAAAGAAGGGAGATACGCCTACAAGTGCGATTTCAGCCACTCCGGGCACTGCAAAGACCGCTACTCCAGGTAGTTTGGCTGAACAACAGTCCGGAATCTCTGCACCGCAGTCAACTGCGATGGCGCCCGAGTTCCAGATCGCGATCAAAGAAAACGCTGAGGCTCTGGCGAAGGAAGAGGCCGAGAGATCTGCTCTTGATGCTGGCCGCATGCGCCGGCGCGAACTGGCAAATTTCGACCCATCCCTCTATTTCTTAGCTACACTGGCGTATTCATTTGAACTGCGTGAAGAAGAGAACAAGATCATTGAGTCTGCCTCAGAAAACAAAGATGCAAGGGCTGCCAGCTCTAGTGCAGCTATATTGAAAGATGCTAAACAGCCAGCTTCATCCCCGTTGCAACGTGGACTGACTCCTTCTGCGGTCTTACAAACTCCGCTCCCATTCAGTGTAAAGACCCCAAGCTCTGCTGCCAGAAACGGCGCGGGGCTGTCTCCTGGCACTTTGGTGGCCAACGGAACCAAGCTTGGTAGTGGGGTGTCGTGGACAGGTAAGGTAAAGCCGAGATTAATCCGGGCCGTTATGGCGGAGGTTCCAGCTGTGAAGTCGCTGGCGATTGGGCTATTTATGCCCACTCCTCCTGATGAGCTGAGAGTGAAACGTGAAGCAGACGATGATCTCCATGAGGGTCCTAAGAAGCCCAAACAGGAGACTGGCATGGGCTCTTGGATCGTGGGAGCAGGTTTTTAGAGAAAAGAAAAGCGGTGTGTGTGTATATGAATTTTTGTTCTATGTGAATATCTAATTAAATTGTGTGTGTGTTTGTGCCTATTCTAAATTTACTGCAGAGGAAAATTGGTAAAATCTTGAAATTTGTAGCTTTTCTGAAAAGAAAGCCATCAATGATGTGCGCGCTACTGTTAGGTTTACCAGTGGTAATATTAGCATATTCAGAGATAAAATCTTCGAGAAATAGTCTTAACGGATGTTTTTCCACCTATGTTAGCTTCATCCTTGCAAAGATATGCTTTGGCACATGCATTTGAGCCGCACGAAATTTTTCACATAAATTGGATTGATTAGGACACGATAAAGAAATCAATTTTTTTTCTTCATCTGGACTAGTAAAGATACGGTTTCGCTCACAATAGGAACAAACATCGAATTAATGTCGAATATCCAGACGTCAAAGTTTGTCAAGAGCTTGGCCTCCAACCGTGAGTGTTGCTTTCCTTAAAGAAATAACAAACGGATAACTAACCCATAGCAGACCGCAAGGAAAGAGAGAAGGCTCTCGAATCGCTTAAGCTGTTCATCTCCAAGTCGAACAGGCTTTCGGATCTGGAGTATCAAAAACTATGGAAGGGGCTTTTCTACACAATGTGGTTCAGTGACAAGCCTAGGCCCCAACAGAGGCTTGCGAGAGACCTGGGCGAGCTGTTCCTCCTGTTCGAAGACCCTGCCAAGTTTGCGAAGTTCACAGCCGCCTTTTGGCACGTAATCTGCAGAGAATGGGTAGATATTGACCAGTGGAGAATTGACAAGTTCTACATGCTTGTGAGACAGGTTTTGCGGAACTGTTTGGTGAAGGCTGGCGATTCCGCATTTTGCGCCGCATTGGTGGAGGTTCTGAAGGAGGGACCTTTAAAGGAGGATGATCGTGTTCCAAAGGCAATCCCATACCATCTGTGTGATATCTACCTTGATGAGCTTGAGAGTGCCATTTTTCCTGATCCAGAGGAAGAGGAAGAGAGGAGCGCACTCCTCGAGGGTTGGGATGTCAAAGCCTTGTTGGACCCTTTTGTGGAGCTCAAGGAGAAGAGTAAACTCAAGACATTGCGTGAGATGATTGCCACAACAGTACTGTCGGATTCAAGACTGGTGGAATGGGGGGTTGTTGAGGCTGAGCCTGAAGAGCAGGAAGAGGAAGAGGGCGAGAGCGACGACGAGAGCGACGACGAGTGGGCGGGATTTGCATAAATACTCATGAGGCTTTCCCCGAGAATTGTATATTTAGAACAAGTGAAGCATAGGTGAAATATTCAGGTGCCCAGTCAATGGTGCTCAGAGGCCTGCTAGGGATCAGCAATTCCAGTGTAATTTCCGAAAGAATTGGACTTCTCCATAAACTGGGTGACTCTACTACGACTTATTACACTTTTACCATTCGTACTTCCTAAAAAGTCACGCCTGAGACGCTGATATGTCAGCCTAAAAGCCTTGACTTTGACTGGGTCAGCCAGGCGATCGCGTGCGGCGGAAAAAATTCACCTCAAAAGTCACGTGATAAAATGTTTCACGTCCAACGGCTTGTACGCGTTGGGAGGCAGAAATGGCCAAAGAAGACTCTGGAAAGTGCAGTCCAGCAATGACCAACAAAGCCTCGATCGCATATGTGCACTAATTCGTAAGCTTGTTCCGAAATCCTCGGACTTGTATCCCAAAAACCCAGCGATCTTATCAATTTCTCTTTCCAGGACTCCTCCAGGGGTGCGCGTGTGCCAGCAAAAGTGCCAACAGCCCAACAAAGACGAGACCCTCTGCGTGGTCGAAACGGGTCTTGGTGGCGCACGACATCGTTGAGCGCATCCAACAACCAAAAAAAATGGGCCTACAACGGTGTTCTTCCCACAGGGTGATAAAGAAAAGAAGCTCAACTGTTGGCTAATTTCGACTTTCAACACGTTTGCTGGGTATAAGAGACGCGCAATCCGCCTAATTTGTCAACGTACATCTCTTGTTCCTAAAAAACGCAGGGTTTTTCTCTAAAGGCACAACCATACTCAATAGGTCTTTCCCTCCCATTGAGCTATTCGCGTACCACAACAAGAGATTCCTTTTGAAGCTGAAAAAGACACTAGTTTTGCAGAGCACATCCAAATGACCACACTCTCTTCCGTGAATCGGCCATTGGTGCTGAACCATGGCTCGATCGAGTCTACTGTTCTGATCCCCTCTTCCGCATATCTTTTCTACCAAGAACTGACCACAGGCTTCTCTAAGAGCTTGCCTGAAGTCACCGAAGGATTTGCCAACGATGATGAGCCTTCCTCAAAAGCGGAGCTCTTGCTCAAGTTTTTGGGCTACATTGTGACCTCTTCTTCTGCTGTGGAAGCTGAGAAGCGTGAGGCCGCTGCCTTGGTGCTTGAAGAATTTGAGACGAGGTTTCTCCAAGGCCAGGATATCCACGCGTTTGCCGCATCCGCCCTTGAGAACGACGACTCGCCAACCACCTCTTTCAAAGTCAAGAACAATCTCATCAGAAACTACTACTCGGGCAAAGTGTTTCTGAAGGCCACGTTCGAGTCTGAGAAGCCAAAGGCGGCGCTCTTCAAGGCTGCTGCTGCCGACGAGGCCCGTATCTTTGCGATCTTTGGTGGTCAAGGTAATACCGACGACTACTTCGAGGAGCTTAGAGACATATACCACACATACAACGGCTTGATCTCGGATTTTCTCCACAAGGTTCAGGCCAAGCTCCAGGGTCTGATTAGATCTACTCCTGATACCGATAGAATTTACTCGCAGGGAATGGATCTCATCAACTGGTTAGAGAACGAGGACTTGACTCCTGATGCTGACCATCTTTTGTCGATCCCAATCTCGTGTCCTTTGATCTGTGTGATCCAATTGTGTCACTACATAATCACCGCAAAGGCGCTTAGTCTGACACCTGGCCAGATTCGTGACTTGATGAAGGGTGCTACTGGACATTCTCAGGGTTTGGTCACTGCTGTTGTGGTTGCTTCCTCTGGTTCGTGGGCTGAGTTTGAGGTGAACGCTTTGAAGGCAGTTGAGTTTTTGTTCTTCATTGGTGTCAGATGTCTTCAGACTTACCCAAACACCTCGCTCTCCCCAAGCATTGTTCAGGACTCTATCGACAACGCCGAGGGAAAGCCTTCTCCAATGCTCTCAGTCAGAGACTTGTCCTACGACCAGGTGACCAAATTTGTTAATGAAACAAACCAGCATCTTCCTCTGGAGAAGCACATCGACATCTCTCTGGTCAACGGTGCCAGGAATTTGGTGCTTACCGGTCCTCCCCTTTCCCTCTACGGTTTGAATTTGAACCTGAGAAAGGCGAAGGCCCCATCCGGATTGGACCAGTCGCGTATCCCATACTCAGAGAGAAAGCTCAAGTTTTCCTCGAGATTCTTGCCTATCCTGTCACCTTTCCACTCTCATTTGCTCAAGAGCGCTACTGGTAGAATCATTGATGATCTTGCCAACTCGAACCTCGAGTTCCCTACAGCCGATATCAAGATTCCTGTTTTCGACACATTTGATGGTTCTGATCTGAGAGAATACTCTGGATCCGTTGCCTCTAGAATGGTCGAGTCGATCACCCACCTCAGAGTTAACTGGGAGACGGCCACTAGCTTCAAGGCCACTCACATCCTTGATTTTGGTCCAGGAGGCTCTTCTGGTCTCGGTGTTTTGACTCACAGAAACAAGGACGGTACTGGTGTTAGAGTCGTTGTTGCCGGCACTTTGGACAACACTGATGGTGAGTTTGGATACAAGCAGGAGCTTTTTGATATCTCCCCAGACTCAGTTCAATACGCCCCCAACTGGCTCAAGGAGTTCCAGCCAAAGTTGATAAAGACTGAGGCAGGCAAGGTGTTTGTTGACACCAAGTTCTCGAGACTTTTGGGTAAGGCCCCATTGATGGTGCCAGGTATGACCCCAACCACTGTCCACCCAGACTTTGTTGCTGCAACCATTAATGCTGGTTACCACATTGAACTCGCTGGTGGTGGATACTTCAACCCAGTCCAGATGGAGACTGCCCTCAAGAGAGTTGCCGACCAGGTCAAGCCAGGTTCCGGAATTGGTGTCAATCTCATCTACGTCAGTCCAAGAATGCTCCAGTGGGGTATCCCTCTGATAAAGGACCTTAGAGATCGCGGGTTTCCTCTGCAGTCTTTGACTATTGGTGCTGGTGTTCCATCTCTCGAGGTTGCCACCGAGTATATCGAGACTCTTGGAATCTCCCACCTGGGCTTGAAGCCAGGTTCGGTTGATGCCATCAACCAGTGTATTACCATCGCGAAGGCCCACCCAACCTTCCCTGTCGTGGTCCAATGGACCGGTGGTAGAGGTGGTGGTCACCATTCCTTTGAAGACTTCCACCAACCAATTCTTCAGATGTACTCCAAGATCAGACGTTGTTCCAACATCATCCTGGTTGCCGGTTCCGGGTTTGGTTCTGCTGATGACACTTTCCCTTACTTGTCAGGTGAATGGTCACTGAAGTTCAACTACCCAGAAATGCCATTTGACGGTGTTTTGTTCGGTTCTAGAGTGATGACTGCCAAGGAGGCTAAGACATCTCCAGATGCTAAGAAGGCCATTGCTGCCTGCTCTGGTGTTGACGACTCTCAGTGGGAGTCCTCTTACAAAAAGCCAACCGGTGGTATCGTGACTGTAAGGTCCGAGATGGGCGAGCCAATCCACAAGATTGCTACTAGAGGTGTGATGTTCTGGAAGGAGATGGACGACACCATCTTCAACTTGCCAAAGGCCAAGCTCAAGGATGCCTTGGAGAAGAAGAGAGACCACATCATTGCTAAGTTGAATGCTGACTTCCAGAAGCCATGGTTCGGTAAGAACGCTGACGGTGTTTGTGATATCCAAGACATGACATACAAAGAGGTTGCCGAGAGAATGGTGGAGCTCATGTATGTCAGAAAATCGTCGAGATGGATTGACGTCTCTCTCCGTAACTTCACGGGCAACTACCTGAGAAGAGTCGAAGAGAGATTTTCCAAAAAGGCAGGTCCATCCGTCATCCAGTCTTTCTCTGCCTTGGATGCTCCTGATGCTGCTTTGGAAACTGTCTTCAAGGCTTACCCAGCTGCAACTACTCAACTCATCAACGAGCAAGATTGCGACTTCTTTTTGTCCTCATGCCAGTCTCCATCTCAGAAACCCGTTCCTTTCGTTCCAATTTTGGATGAGAGATTTGAATTCTTTTTCAAGAAGGACTCTCTGTGGCAGTCTGAGGATCTCGAAGCTGTCGTTGATGGCGATGTCCAGAGAACTTGTATCCTTCATGGTCCTGTTGCTGCCAAATTCACCAACGTGACTGAAGAGCCAATTGCCGAAATTTTGGATTCAATCCACGAAGGCCACATTGCCAAGCTTCTTGCATCTAATTACTCTGGTGATGCTTCTGCCATCCCAGTTGTCCAATACTTTGGTAAGAGTCTCAATGTTGAGGCTCCAACTGCTGTTGCTGGCTGCTCTATTGAAGGTGACACCTACACCGTCACATGCCCATTCATCAAGCCAGAGGCCTGGTACAGCTTGCTTGCCGGCGATAAACTGTCTTGGAGACATGCTTTCCTGACTGCTGAGAGACTTGTCCAAGGTTACAACCATGTTGCCAACCCAGCTAAGGCTGTCCTTAAGCCTTTCAAGGGTCTGACTGTCAAGATCTCTAACGACGTAATCACCGCCTACGATAAGATCCACGGTAAGCTCAGTGAGGTTGCCGTGATTTCTCACTCTGGCTCCACCATCAAGATGGAGTTGATTGAGCACAGAACCCAGGATGGTAAGGCCGTTGGCCTTCCATTGCTGTACACTTACGAGCCATCTGATGGATTTGCTCCAATCATTGAAGTCATGGAAGGCCGTAACGAGCGTATCAAGCAGTTCTACTGGAAGCTATGGTTTGGATCATCATCACCTGTTGATCTCGACTTCAATGTTCACGAGCCAATCGACGGAGGATCTGTTACTATCACTAGCCAGGCCATTGCCGAGTTGACTCACGCCGTTGGAAACTCTTGCGAAGACTTTGTCCCAAGAGAAGGTGGCGAGCAATTGGCTCCTATGGATTTTGCTATCATCATTGGTTGGAAGGCTATCATGAAGTCTATCTTCCCAAAGACAGTTGATGGTGATATCCTGAGATTGGTCCATTTGTCGAACTCTTATAAGATGTTCCCAAATGCTGCTCCTCTTAAGAAGGGTGACGTTGTGTCCACTACCTCGGAAGTATCTTCTGTGGTCAACGCCGAGAACGGTAAGACCGTTGAGGTTGTTGGTACTTTGTTCAGAGACGGCGAGAAGGTAATGGAGGTGGCTTCTCAGTTCTTTTACCGTGGAAAGTATCTGGACTTTGAGAACACCTTCCAAAACAAGCCAGAGGACCCAGTCCAGATCTCGTTGGCCACTTCGAAGGATGTTGCTGTTCTGAGATCAAAGGAATGGTTCCACTTGGATTCTGACATTGATCTTTTGAACAAGGTTTTGACTTTCCGCTGCCAGACTTCTGTCACTTACAGAAGCGAGAAGGTGTTTTCGTCTGTCAAGACCACTGGTCAAGTCTTCTTGGAGCTACCATCTAAGGAGATCAAGCAAATCGCTGAGGTCTTGTATGAGTCTGGTACGTCTCACGGTAACCCAGTCACTGATTACCTTGCTCGTAACGGTTCTACCATCGAGCAACCAATCATGTTTGAGAACCCAATCCCATTGTCTGGTGAATTGCTCTCCAAGGCTCCGGGAACTAACGAGACTTATGCTGCTGTTTCTGGTGACTACAACCCAATCCACGTTTCCAGAATCTTTGCCTCTTACGCGAACTTGCCCGGAACTATTACCCACGGTATGTACTCTTCTGCTGCTGTCAGATCTCTGGTTGAGATGTGGGCTGCTTCCAACGTTGCTTCCAGAGTGAGAGCTTTCAAGGCCAACTTTGTCGGCATGGTCTTGCCAAACGACCAATTGTCCACCAAACTGGAGCACGTTGGTATGATCAACGGTCGTAAGATCGTGAAGATTGAATCCAAGAAGGTCGAGTCTGGCGAGACCGTCTTGCTTGGTGAGGCCGAAATCGACCAACCCGTCTCTACTTTCGTGTTTACCGGTCAAGGTTCTCAAGAGCAGGGTATGGGTATGGATTTGTACGGAAGTTCCGAAGTTGCCCGCTCTGTTTGGGATAGAGCTGACCGTCATTTCGTTGAAAACTATGGTTTCTCCATCCTGAACATTGTGAAGAACAACCCTAACGAGCTGACTATTCACTTTGGTGGATCCAAGGGCCGTGCTATCCGCGAGAACTACAAGAGCATGATGTTTGAAACCATCAACGAAGACGGTTCTTTGAAGTCTGAGAAGATTTTCAAGGAGATCACCGAGACCACCAACTCCTACACTTTCCGCTCTCCAACTGGTTTGCTGTCTGCTACTCAATTCACACAACCAGCCTTGACTCTTATGGAGAAGGCCTCGTTTGAGGACATGAAGAGCAAGGGATTGGTTCCTTCGGAATCCATGTTTGCGGGTCACTCGCTTGGTGAGTATTCTGCTCTTGCCTCTCTGGGTGATGTTATGCCAATTGAATCGCTGGTGGATGTCGTTTTCTACCGTGGTATGACAATGCAAGTTGCTGTGCCAAGAGATGAGCTCGGAAGATCTAACTACGGTATGATTGCTGTCAACCCATCCAGAATTTCGGCCACTTTCAACGATGCTGCTCTGAGATTTGTTGTTGAGCACGTTTCCAAGCAGACCAAATGGTTGTTGGAAATTGTCAACTACAACGTTGAGAACACTCAATACGTTGCTGCCGGTGACTTGAGAGCCTTGGACACCCTCAGCAATGTGCTCAATGTGTTCAAGCTCCAAAAGATTGACATTGTCAAGCTTCAAGAGATGATGCCTTTGGAGAAGGTTGCTGAGCACTTGACCGAGATTGTGGAGGAGGTTTCCAAGAAGTCCATCGCCAAACCCCAGCCAATTGACTTGGAGAGAGGTTTCGCATGTATTCCACTCAAGGGAATCTCCGTTCCATTCCACTCTTCTTACCTGAGATCTGGTGTGAAGCCATTCCAGAGATTTATGAACAAGAAGATTCCAAAGTCTGCCGTTAAGCCAGCGAACCTAATTGGCAAGTACATTCCAAACTTGACGGCTAAGCCATTCGAGATCACAAAAGAGTACTTCGAGGAGGTCTACCAATTGACAGGCTCGGAAAAGATCAAAGCTGTTCTAGACAACTGGGACCACTACGAATCCTCCTAGAGGGAAAAATTAAGAGGGTTCAAAGTGTTTTCATTAGTTTGTATCAGTTTTGCATTGTTTCAGCTGTGTTGTATATAACAGTGTTTTGATAATTTTATTTTGCTAAAGATTTGCGTAGTTCTCGAAACAGTTAATGCAGCTATGGCCATGCTTATGTAGCCATGGATACTTTGATATTCATGAAATAGTGCAAATTAGAATATATAAAGAACTCTATCTTATCACATGAACCGCAAGACAACTAAAGGAATCTTTCCACTCGCCTGAAATGTCGCTTCCTCCAAGTATCTCTGCAATGTCACAGCTATCAAAGTAGCATTCGTCCAAGTGGTAGTCGACATTTGTGTCAACCACCTTGAGCTTGTTCCTCCGATTCTTTCTGACTTTTTTCTTGCTTGCTACCATCTCGAAGCCATCATCAGTAGATGGCTGCTCAGACCTAATCTGTGAAGTCAAATAGCCAATCCGTGCCACATTTGGGTGTTTTTCATAGAGGTCCTGCGAGGTCCACCTGCCTATGTACCGTCTCAGGTCGTTGGTTATCATCACCACTATTTTCTCCGATGTGATTATTTCTTCCAGAAGCTCAACAGGAGCATGTGGCATGTAATACAGTATATCTTCTTCTTTGCTGACTTTTTGGGTGATTTTATCCTCTATTTTGAACCCCAGTTCTTCAAACAGTAAGACGTCTATGTCGTTAAAGGCCGGGTCGTATACCGACACTTGTCGTATCTTGAGCTCGTCCAAAATCAACACCAAAAAGGCCAGCTGATAGAGAGCATTGAACTCATTTGAAGGAGATCCCAGCGCAAGGCATCGCACCGAGACAATATCTATGTTTGCCAACTTGTTTCGTATCACCTCCAATGCATCTGCATAGGTCTTTGTCTTTGCGAAGGCGTCTCGCCGTTTGCCCAGCATTTCGCGCGTACGTTTTAATTTCTCCACTCTCGCTTCCGGCGACTCGACATCAAGTTTCGCGCCCATTTTATTCAACTTGCGGCCTAAACCATACCGAAACAATCACATACTTTAGCTGTTTCCAAGCTGAGGCTGTACTTTTCACCCCCGGTTCCCACCCTCGATGACCACCCCGGAAAGCATTACCGACGGTCTCCGGTGGGAAAGTTTTTTTTCCCTTGCAGTTGAGCGGGCCTCTCCTTGTACTGTTCGTTCTTAGGGCAATCAAACACTCTCAGGTTAGATCAGATACCATTGGTCAGCATCTTGATCCAGTGGTAAACACTTAGCACTCATCAAAAGTCGACCACCTCCTCGTGTGTGGACCTTTGGGAAGTTTTGAGACACACTAGCTTCTTTGGTTGCTTCAGGCTTGAAATTGAAGTTCCTTGAACGGTTTTCGCGATGAGGAAGTGCAAAGTCTTTGTTGGAAACTCACATCCCGAGTTGGGGAAGCTTGTGTGTGATAGGCTGGGAATTGAACCAGCTCCCAGCACGTTGAAGAAGTTCGCCAATGGTGAGACCTCGGTACAGATTGGTGTATCTGTTAGAGACGAGGACGTCTACATCATCCAAAGTGGGTCTCCTCAGACGAATGACCATATCATGGAGCTCTTGATTTTGATTTCTGCGTGTAAGGGTGGTTCCGCTGCCAAGATTACTGCTGTTATTCCCCAGTTCCCATACTCCAAGCAGTCCAAGATGAAGAAGCACAGAGGAGCTATCACGGCTAGAATGTTGGCGAATTTGCTTGTCATGGCTGGTGCGGACCATGTGGTTTCTATGGATTTGCATGCTTCGCAGATGCAGGGTTTTTTCACCAAGCCAGTGGACAATCTCTACGGAGGCCCCACGTTGGCCAATTGGATCAAGCATTATGTTCCAGACTACTCGGAGGCCGTGGTGGTTTCAAAGAACCCCGGTGGAACCAAGAGGGTGACTTCTTTGGCTGACTCGCTCAAGATCAACTTTGCCATGTTTCACACCGACAGGAGGAGAAATAAGGACGCCTACAAGATCAAGGGAAAGAAGAAGACCTTGACTACCACCAAGAAAAACGAGGACGGTGAGGAAGAGGAGGATATCATAGTAAGCAATGGAATGCAGACAGCGAGAATTGTCAAAGGTCACGTTGTCGATGATGCGTATCCTGAACAAAAGCCCAAGACCCTGGCCAATGGCGACGAGCCAGTAGACAGGTACGCGTTGGGTGGCTCCTACGATGCAGACAACTCAGACGATGAAGACGAACCTCAGTATAATGCAGAGGAAAAGCTGATCACACTCGTTGGTAATGTGCAGAATAGACCTGCCATAATCGTTGATGACATGATCGACAAACATGCTTCTTTCATTGCTGCTGCCGAACATCTGAGACTCAACTGTGGTGCTAAAGAGTGCTACATTGTTGCGACTCATGGTATATTCAGCGATAACTGTCTGGAGACTTTGAATGACTGCAAGTACATTGACAAAATCATCGTCACCAACACCTACCCCATAGACGAGGCCAGGCGTGCGAGGTGCGAGAAGCTGGTGATCATCGACGTTTCTCCTATCTTTGCTGAGTGCATTAGAAGAGACCATTTCGGCGAGAGTATATCGGTTCTGTTTGACTCTCTCTCCGTCATCGCATAGTCTGCTTCACCGCAACACCAACTCCGAAATTCCAAAACCTAGAGGAGACCTCTAGCGAGATCCAGGGAGGCCTTTACGATTTTTCAGTTACCGAATCTTATCTGTTTTCGCTCGCCGCTCAATGCGGCCGTAGTGTTCTTTTTTTTTTGCGCTTTTGAACCAATGATGCAGCCACTTTGGGCTGCAGGACCAGCTTTTTCCCACGAAGTTGTGTACTAACGGAGCATTGGGATATCAACCTAAACCGGAGCCATGCTATATCCAATACTCTTCACGGAGTATTGGGCCTATCAGCTCCAAATCAGCTTTTCAGATGCTTTACTTTTCAGTTAAACTGATTGAAAAGTGACGAAAAAAGCTGATGACATAATCAATAATTAGCCGAAGCACTACATATTGACACCCTTCCCGTTTGGGGCCCCTTCGAATCATTCCATCACGACTTTTTTGCACTCTTCTTCTGTAGCTTGTTGCAGGTTTTTTCTACATCAATATATTACACCGGACACATGAACGCGTACAAAAGGGTAAATGCCTCCAGTTTTGGCACGGAGACACAGGTCGATGAGACCACTGCTGCGTTGCAGAGTTTGGGTATGCGGATAAGGAAGTCTGTTGCAGATGGTTATATGGTTCCTCAGAACGGTCAGAATGCTTTCAACGATTACAACAGTCGTAATGGCGGTGTGGTCGCCCCAAATATCCAGAGAGTTCCTCTCCCAGAGAGATTTGCAAACAACCCACCATCATTGACATACAACGGATCCACGGCTTCGTCGCTGGCCGGATGGGAAAACGAACTAGAAAGACCTGTTATACATCAGATGTCCGCCTCTGGAACCTCTCCAATCAAACGTGGCCGCGAAGACGACTCTGGCGAGTCGGAATACGTCAATGTTCACCACCAGAAGAACCTTTCGGACTACGTTGGCCGCTACGGACAGCTGTCTTTCAACGAGGACTTTTAAATGATGATCACCAGGGTGCCCAGATGGTCCCCCAATGGTGCCCAGATGGTCTATACGACCGCAAACAATGATGTCTCACGTTTCTTCTCCTGATATTTGTTCTTTTCTATCTAATTATATACGGGGATGTCCTCATCCCCACGCTGGGTCAACGGAATACGCGTACTTTCTTTTGATTGTGGTTTCTAGATCCCGTAGGTTCAATCTAGCTACATCAAAGTCCATTATTTATGCCACTTGAATCCAAAATTCCGACTTTTTTTGGAATATTTCACAAACACCTGACTCCACACACTCAAGCCTCGTGGAGTCGTGCCGCACTGATCTTTCAGCCCTGCCTAAAATTCAGTCGATCGCCAGCCTTTAAAAAAAACCGCCAGTATGGACTCTGTTTGCCAAAATCACATCTGCATCAATGGGAGCGGCCGATTCCAAGCTCCGGTTCAAGAACCACGTGTTCCGACTCTCGGATTCCACCACGGAAATTCCGCCCAATAGCGAATATTGGGATACGGTAAGTAGCCAGAGACGGTCCTAGACCTGCTTCTATAGAGATGACCCCCATGGAGTATCACATGGAAACAGCAGATAATAGGTACTAACACATGCTCCAGTTTTGGCGTGAACCGCAATCGGCAAATGATATATTCAATTTGCTTACTCCCTCTGATATAAGGACCATTCGCGATGCAAATAAACAGCAGTTCTTGCGACTGCTCAAGGTCATCAGCGACCGACTGCTGTTCCTTACGGGACAGCGAAATGTTCCAGCGCGCAGTTTCCAGAAACAACACCAACTCAATTGTATACGACTTTTGACGAAGCTCGTGCCGTTTTTATACGAAGACCACACATTGGCCGAAGACGAGAGAACGTTGTTCTGGACCCAAGCCAAAGCCTCCTCCTCCTCACCCCAGGCTGAAGCCGAGGCCGATTCGGATGACACTCCATTGGGAGCTAGACTGGTGTTTGCATGTGTGGACTTGCTATTCACTGCGAATTTTACGGTTCCGAAAGCCCGGGTTGAATTGGCGAATACCGTGGATCTTTCTATCTGGGAACCCGGTATCGGCTTGAGTGGAAAGTTTCAACAGCCGAGGGTTGAGATCGATAGTAATAGACTCGAAGTTTTGAGGCTACTTCTGGTTCTTTGTTCACAATGTCTCTACGAAACGCCTCCTCAACTTATCTCAAATGGCTCGCGCTTCTTAACAGTTATGACGACTTCGTTGCCGCGATTGAAGACCCTCACCTTGATATGCTCGCTGCTCAATCTCGCTTGCAGGACAATGGGAGCTCCCGGTGACCAGACCGGATTGGACAGCACAAACCCGTCTTTTGTGCATTTGAGAGTCTTGATGGCTTCCCATGCTATCCAGCTGCTTACGTTGATGATCGTTTATCCACTTCCCAAGACTGATGTCTCCTTCCTGAAGGAGACTGGAATTTTCACTGAGACACCTCTCAATCTTACGAGGCATTTCTGTGGAAAACTCCACAAAGAGAACGAACTGGAATTTTTAAGAACAGGTCTTTTGGCTCCGCTACGTGCTCCTCTTATCAGTGCATCTGATACCAACAATGCCAACGTGATTAGCTCTTTTGTCAGTGGGGCTTTCAGTGCAAACGAACCGTCAGTTTGGTGTATCGAGAGCATAATGCTTGTATGGGAATTCTACCAGCTGAACAGAAGATTCCGATCCTACATTGCCACGAATTTCGGTAACTCTCTGATGGTCTCGTTGCTTTATTATGTTCATTCCTACAGAAAACAGGAAGCCTACCGGAACGTTGTGCGGATTTGCTCCTACTTCTTCCTCTATCTCTCGGCAGATCCTCTTATTTGCAATTCCGTTCTGGCTTCTTTCCCATCCGAAGAATACGCTATTCTTCCACAGACATTCAAGCTTTCGGTTGCTCCTCTTACGTACCGAGACTTTCTCGTTTCCCACTCCTGTGCGATGCTGCTGGACTTGTCCACTTCTGTGTTGAGACCTACTCTGGTTGAGTGGATATACAATCTTCTGCCTCTGGGAAATCAGCCTGGCAGAGATGTTGTTCCCACGATGAACAGACGAGCGTCTCGCGATATCACTAACGGTGCTTCTCTTGGGTCTTCTTCGACGTCTCCTTCATTGAGTGCTCCAGTCAACATAGTGGCTCAACAGAGGATTGGCTCGGGAATATCGTACCCAACAGCCACCTTGTTAACGCAGTTGATTCTTCGGTTCTCTGCTATTGGTTTCCTCCAAGAAAATGCCATAAATCCGGACCTTTTGGCATTATTGGTGAGGGCAATCTGCCATGCTCTTTGCAGGTTCTCCAAAAATTTCAGTGCGCTAATCTTCATCATCTGCAGAGACAAAAAGGTTTATACCGACGTTTTGAATATCATCAACCGTCTCGATGCTATCCAGAAAGAATCGGCCAAAAACTCGCCAATAGTGAACCCTGAAGACTCAGACATAGATGATCATTTCTCACTCTCAGATAGGAGCTCTATTGCTCTTGATTCGCAGGAAGGCTCGCAGAACATGGCAGATGAAGATGAATCGTTCATGAGACCAAGACCACCTGTTGGAATGTCTGCCAAAGCAAAGGGAAAACTTGTTGCAGGAGCTCCTCTTCATGCCAAATGGGCTGGGTCCAAAGCCATGGCAATTATCCTAGAGTTCATTCAAGTCACCACAAAAAATGTGCCAGAGTTCTCCAACGACTCGCCTACCGATACGGCAACTTTGATCTCGAAAATCGAGGACTTGGACTACTCCAATCTCATCATTTCCAACATACACAGAGGCGAGTTCCTGCCTTCTAAAACAGGCTTTGAGCCTTTGAAATTCACCTGGTCCAACATGTCGTTGGGATGGTATTGCAGTATTCTGTGGGGATGCATATTCGTCAATTACGATGTGAATAGACGGAAAAGGTATAGTGTCTCTGGTTCAATATCGGTGTTCAAGAAGGCTGCCATTGACTGGGGGTTTTCCAAATGGAGCAACTCAGAGGCTGCGCTCACAGAAATAGCAGAGAACGCAATGAGCGACGTTGGCACTTGGCATGGAACACACGTGAAAGTGTTCAAAATCAAAGAAAGAATGAGGGATACGCCCACTCTTATGCAGCCACGAGGTGCTGTTGATGCTGTTGCCGACTCGCTGGTCAAGCGACTAAACGACTTCAGGTTAGGCAGAAACGGCAGTGTTGTGGACTCTTCTGCTCCAGGAACTCCAGATACCATTTCAGGCTCTTTTTTCAGAACTCACAATCCTTTTGGTGGGCCTACAGACAGTCCTGCCCCTGATTCGCCCAGGCCTCTAATGATTACGCCAAGAGGCTCTGTTTCAGGGACCCCTCGGGGGTCTGTTGTTGGGACTCCCGTTCTGACTCCGCGACCATCATTTTCTGAGATTGCCAGAAGAGAAGATTGAGACTCGCAGATTTGGAGAGGTAACAATTGATAGTTGATGATCCACGAAAGGTTTCTAACAGTATATACATATATACTCTCTTATAATGTCTGTTAACGTCTCCAGAAATACTTTATATTCAAACTGCCTTGAGCAGGTTAGCTTGGACCTTCAATTACTTGGTCATCCGTAATGACCATTATCTACCTTATACCTATACACGTCTCATGAAACATTACCTTCTTCTACCACCCTTCTTGGTGACCACAGTGAACCCGTCTTCATCCACTATTGGACCTTTGACTTCATCAACATCCATGTCCACATCATCGTCATGAGCGTGCTCGTGGCCAGTGTGATCTTCATCTTCCTCGTCATCAGAAGACTCCGGGTTCTCGGGATCTTCCTCAACGTGCACATGCGCAACCGCATTTCTCGAACGATTGGCCTGTTTTATCTGCCATCTGGCATACATCTCCTGGACCTTAGTATAGTCTTGCCGGGCGCAATCTCTGTAACAATTGACGATGTTATGGGCAACCAGAACCGTGGTGTCGTCCTCCACAAAAACCTCGAACTCGTCTTCCATTGCATTGAACAGAACCTCGTGAATCGCGAAAACGTCAAGCTCCTTGTTGTCTCTGAACAGATCAACCACCACACCCGTGATCCAGTCTCTTTTCTCCTCACCATGCTGACCTCCCCAGCCGTTGTCAACCGCTATAGATAAGGTGTCCCACTTGTGGATATGCATCGAGACACCCAGCTCGAAATTGGCCTGCTGGCGCTCGTCATGAAATAGCAGCGTAGCCTGGTCTTTGGGAGCACTGACATAATCAGTGACGTCTATGCTTATGGACATTTTTGCAGCTGGCTCTGTTTTGAAGAGTATAGAGTAGCTCTCTTGTCAACCATATTTCACCTGAAAAAAAATTACAGACATGTCCCCAAACGGGAATTTGAGTTTCGGCACACAATCTGGATCATTAACCGTCCCAAAAAGGCAATTTGGTTCGTGCACCACAGATTGCCATGCAAGCAACAAGCATGCACTCAAAGTTTGGAACCGAAGGTCCAGCAGAGTTGAACTGGTAAACAACAGGTGAAAGGATTTGTGCTGCCAAAGTGAATAAACTTGTACAGCCATGTCGAAGGTGAACCCCACTTCTATCAAGATAGAAAATGCCCTGAAGGCAATGGAGAACAGAAACGACCCGGCTAAAGCCCCACAGGATCCAACCGTGTACACCACCGATGAGGGCAACACCTACAAAACCACAGACAGAATCGTGAGTGATGTGGTTCCTCCAACAAGCTATCGGCCCACAGATTCAGAGGTTTTCAAGCCGAATGGACTTCCAGATTACCATTATCTTCAAGAGCACTTTCTCAAAGAAGGAAGACTTTCCGAACAGCAAGTGCTGAAGATTCTGCGGATGGCCACCAAGATTCTCAGCGACGAACCCAACATTTTGCATCTAGATGCGCCCATAACCGTTTGTGGTGACATACATGGCCAATTCTACGATTTGGTGAAACTTTTTGAAATCGGAGGAGACCCTGCGACTCACTCGTATCTATTCCTAGGAGACTATGTTGACCGCGGACTCTTTTCCATAGAGTGTCTATTATTGTTATATGCGATTAAGATCAACCATCCTAACACCTTGTGGATGTTGAGAGGCAATCACGAGTCCAAACGACTCACTGACTATTTCACTTTCAAGAGCGAGTGTTTGAGGAAGTTCTCCATGGCTGTGTACACCGATTCATTGGATTCGTTCCGAGCACTGCCGCTCTGTGCTATCATGAATAAGCAGTTTTTCTGTGTTCATGGAGGAATATCACCAGAGTTGGATACTCTACAAGATATAGAAAAACTTAACAGGTTTGTCAGGGAGATACCCTCGCACGGTCTAATGAGCGATTTGCTGTGGGCAGACCCAAGAGATGATTATGATGAAAATACCAGGGCTCCTGCTTATGTGAGGAACGAACAGAGGGGATGTTCGTATTCATGGTCGTACAGAGCTTCATGTGAATTTCTGGACAGAAACGGACTACTATGTATCATCCGAGCTCACCAGGCCCAAGATGCAGGATACAAAATGTACAAACGGACAGAAACGATGAAATTCCCAAGTATCCTGACCCTGTTCTCAGCTCCCAATTACTGTGGGACATACCACAATAAGGCTGCCATTTTGAAATACGAGAACGCTGTCATGAACATAAGACAGTTCAACTCGTCTCCGCAACCTTACTACTTGCCGCAGCTGATCGACGTGTTCTCCTGGTCTTTGCCTTTCGTGGGAAGCAAAGTCACAGAGATGCTACTGGCAATGCTCAATGTTTGTACCGAGCAAGAACTTCAGGATGAGTCTTTCGGCGGAGCAGTGGAGACGGAGCCCAAGCATGAGTTTTCGCCAGAGAATTTGGAAGCAAGGAAAGCTCTCAGGAACAAGATTTTGGCCATTGGACGGATGTCACGAATGTTCACAGTGTTGAGACAGGAGGCTGAGAGTGTGGAGCATCTGAGGACATTGGCTGGTGGAAGTTCGCTACCGCGTGGAGTTTTGCTGAGCGGTTCAGATGGTATCAATAAGAAGATCATGTCGTTTGAAGAGGCACGGATTGCAGACATGAAGAATGAGGCTATGCCACCTTCATTGGAGGAAAGAAGGCAGGAGGACAAAGAGCACGAAATTCGGCTGCAAAGGCAATTGAGTTTTGAAGAAGATAATGAAGAATGAGAAAATGCGATTATCAAAATGCATATATCGGAACATGGCATTGGCAATATCTTCTTGCTCTATTATGACATCATTTCGACCAGCGAACTAACTTGTCATGTGTTTGTGAACACTATTAAAAGGAACCTTGTAAATTGTCCCAGTAATTTTTCCGTAGAAAGAAAACGATCAAGCCTTCTTGAAGAAGTGGATACTAAGAAATGGATACAGGGAGATGTATGCATGCCAGCTTCTGGCCTATGCACAAGTACATATGCCAATCTGTTGATACTGAAGCAGGATCTGTGGCCGATACCAGGCAGCTCCTGCTAGATAGAAAAGTTTTTGAGGGGTTTTGAAATATAATCCTCAGACCATATAACAGTTCGTTCGACGTTCTAGACGTGAGTTGCAAATTTAACTGACGCAGAGCTGGCTTGGTGGTCCACACTATCAGTCTAACGACGGCAAGAATCACTAGATAAGCCACAAGGGCTTAAAAAAATTCCCTGAATGGAACACCTCCAGAATAAACACAATCCGGAAAAGATAAGATCCGTTTTTCCGGTAATTTCTGGTGTACCGAGCACATATGGCATATTCTACCCGGATGCATTATTGAAGCCGCATGCCTGCGTGGCACCCTATTGTAAGGCCATGTGTTTAGACGGCATGTCTCACACGCTTCCTTCAGGAATAAACGTGTGGTAGATTCGGGTCTGTTCTAACCAAGTTCGTAGCCCAAACTGAGAATCAACATCTACATCACAATATTGGTAGGTTGGTCAAAAACGAATTCCCACCAGTTTGAACACTAGCATGGCCCCGCCAGGGATTTTGTACAAGCCTTCATTCGGCTGAAATATCGACTAGCAGAATTGTTTGTCGCATAAACATATTTTCATTCCGGTAGCAAATGGTTTGGCCTCAACCCCGAGAACAGAACGCCATCGTTAGACCATTTTAAAAAGGAATTAGCATGTAGCAGCTAGCCACACTGCTAACAAATACTCCCAAAATAGTTCAGCAGAAGCTTTTCGTGGCTGTCCATGTGATAGTGATAGGTTCTGTGTCCTTTTAGGAAGTTGCATGCCTCTCAATCCGCTCCAGAAGGAGCCATCCGGTTAAGCGGTGTAACCCAGAATGCTGGGGCCATTGATGACGCCATAACCGAAACCAGCTCTAAATAATGTTCCCATACAACCATCGTTAAACGAATCACAGATGTCCAGGTTGGGTTGGTCGTGCGATAAGACGGCCGTCCCGGCTTATCATCAACTCGAGCAGTCGGTTAGCAGTATGGAACCGAATCTGGGCTTAGAATAAAGTTTTGGCTCAAGAATTGTCGTTTTTCATTTGAATACTACCGAAATTAATCGTATCATTCTAGTTTTATGAGAACTTGCATCCTGATGGCTGCAACCGGGTTTCCATGGAACGCGAAGCTCATGCCCTCAAGCCTCATCCTATATGGTGAGAATCTCAGTCAACCAAGATTTGGCGTATTACTCCAAGGCTTAAACAGATTAATATCATGGGTCATATATAATGTTTTGACAGAATTAGCTGGTCAATCGGAGCTCCTGACAGCATAAACAACCCACCTGTTACAAAGTATCTTATCGTGATCTAGGTCGAAACACAGTAGTCTTACAGAACCTCAATTGCGTCTACTCCGTTCTCCCCCAAGTTCAAGAATATTCAAATCATGAGATAATTTTCATTAGCGTTAAAAGTGTCTACTAATTTAGCCAATAATCATGAAAGTGTAGTGATAAGAGGGCTAGTTTTTGGTCTATGCTTGTTATAAAATTACAGTGGTTTGAAGCCCCGGCCTGAATTTTCACGGCTGTGTAGTGCGGGATAATCTACACAACAATGTTGTAGATTTTAACTTTAGGGGTTGGATCAGTTTTCAAAACCAACTATATTGTTTAAGGAGTTGTTGAGCATAGATGAATAAACATCCGAACAAATGACAACCAATTGCCTAACAATTTCGGGTTTCTGATGCCACAATAACGCAGGTGTACTACTATTGAGAAAGTCCACACCTTCTTTGATTCAAACACAATTCCATTAAAGTATAAACAGCAAACACAAAAAGCATGAAGAGATATCGAAAAATACATGGTCAAGAGCCAGCTTCAACGAAAACATTTTTGAAGTTTGTCAAGAATACAGTCGGGTGAGCCGATTACCACTTGTCTGGGCCAAAGGCTTCGCCGGTTTTGAGAATAACCTGGATGGCTGTGCCGTCATAGTCACTGGTGTTAAGGACGTTGTTACCCCACCAGTTGATGTTTGGAGTGTTGGTCAAAGAAATGGTCAAGAAGATGATCAACGAGGACCATGCAAGACCGATGTCCAAAGCCGCAGAGAGGGTGTAGTTGTACTTAGACCACCAGTGGAACCACTTTGACTTGACGAACCAGCCGAACACCATACCAACGGTGCAGTAAGCACCATAGTTGTATGGAGTGGCAGGTGGGATGTAACCGGTACCGGAGAAGAACACTGGCCAGTTGAGGTACTTAATGTACGAGTTTGGCCACTTCTTCAAAACAAGCCAGTTGAAGAGAGGGGTGACGGCTCCGATGATGAAGAAGAACAACAGGCCGTAATAAGTCTGACCGTGCGAGTATTGACGTTGTGGACCAATCACACCCCAAATGATGGAAGCATTGAAGAAAACACGGGCTCCCGGACAGGTGAAATGAGAAGGCTGGGTAGACTGGCAGACTTCCTTGATGGAACCCCTAGCCCATTGCATGACGGCAATTTGGACCAAAGCACCCCAGATTGTGGCAATAAATTGGGCAGAGAATAGAAGTCTTGGGGAGATCTTCATATAGTGACCCAGCTTCATGTCCTGAGCAAAGGTAACAGCCTGACTGTTGGTGATGTAACCGAAGGTCTTGAAGAACATCATGCAAATTGGCTTACCTGGGACCATGTAACCGATGATGAACTCGGTGATGACATTGAGACCAACAGCAATGTTAGTGATGGCAAAAACTATTCCGACGGGGATCAGCATGAAGACAGCGATCAAAAGAGCAACGACAAGCGCCCACACTGGCATTTCGGTGTTCCATGCTCTAATACAGGCGATAGACAGACCAAAGAAAACCAGGAAGACGATTCCATACCACCATTCTGGAACACCTCTGTATTGCTTCATCAGGCGGGAGTGCACATCTGGTTTGACATTTCTAAGTTGCTTCATAGTTTGCCAAATATCCCCACCGTGGAAGAGGGCGGTGTGAACAACGGTAGCGGTAAAAGAAGCAAACGACAGACCATACGAGATGGCGAACGTGGTGGACAAAAAGAGTGGGGAGTATGCCTCGTATGCCTCCTTGTTGAAGGAGAGATCTGAGTTGACAATCTTTGAGACATTGTAAGTGGATTGGTAACGGTCCCACGATGATGAGTCAGAGATTGGCAAGTACTTTCCGTACCAGACGTTTCTGTAATGCAAAATTGGAACGATAAACCAGAAGATGAACACCATAGAAAAGAAGATGGTCACAATTGTTGAAAGAGGTGGAACCAATGGAGAACCAATATAACCGTTAATCTGGTTCCAGTCAAAAGTGATAGGAATGATACCCAAACCGGTAGAAGCGCCAAACACCTGGTTGACAATCACGTTGTTGGGAGCAATCCACGTTGGCCATGCAAAGTACGACAATGCCTGGAAGATGTAACCAGGGAACCAGTACCAGAGGAAAGCAGCGATGAAGACATACAAGAAGAATTTAAGTCTCGAGATCTTCCATCCATTGGCAACGTGGTTGTCGTTGACGTGAATGTTGGTCAAAAAGGTGGACAACACCAAGTCGGAGGGCCAGATCATGTTGGCCGGTTCAACAAGAATCTTTCTCATGAGACCAGCAAAAGCAAACCCGATACATTGGGTGGACCAGATGGCCACCAGGTCAAATCCCCAGCCAAAGTCTACACCGTAATGGGCGTTCATACTCAGCAAGATATCAGTGGCATAAGCAGATCCACTACCGAAAGACACGTTAGCCATGATGGTGATCAGAGCGTGCTCCTTCAGGTTGAAAGGACCAGGGTTCAAAGGGATTCCCAAAAAGTTCACATTTGGAACAACCCTCTCCCAAGCTCTACCAATGGGCCAGGCCAAAATAGAAGTCACGAGCGAAGTGATGTAGAAAGATGGGGAGTGCATGGAGAACAGCAGGTTCATACCAGATCCAATGGTGGTCATGATCATACCCAAAACCCACATTCTCCAGGTGTTCTGGGGAATAGTCGGGTCATCACTGGATAGAACGGCAGCTCTGACCTCAGGGTATGGAGAGTCGTCCTCAATAAGGATCTGAGCATAGGCATCATCGTCAACCTCTTTGGACAGACGTTCAGCAAGAGGATCGTACTCAGAAGCAGCAGACTTGACAGGAGAGATATCCTCGTTGATTGGGACGATGTCCGCCTCTTCGATATCCCTCTCCTTAGTCGTGAAGAAATCCTTGACTTTTTCCATGGTGTATTGTGCTCGTTATGAGAGAGGACTGCAATACCAAATTCCAAAGAAAAGATTCAACAGAGAAATAAAGAAAAGTCAGAGCGTGAAAAAGAATGGAAAATACGGGTTTATATAAACTGGAAACCTTGGTTGCGAGAGATAACACAATTTGCTGATAGAGTGAGCAAACGGAAACTCGCCGTTCGCAATCTCAGATAAACTTAGACAATGCCATACATTCGGCCATTTCATTAGAGAAAACTACATGTTAATTGTCTTTGACAGGCTTCCATTCGATGGTACGGCATGAGCGGAAACTGTAACTACGGCTCTCTGATCTCCATTTCCGACAAATACCCGCCTAGGCTGTGGGGCCTGGGTCTCTGATAACACAGAGATAGAAGATGTACAGCGTGCAAAAATAGTTTTGGCCTTTGCGGTTTCAGTAGAAAAAGCAAATGAAATCCAGTGAATGTTATTCGTCAATCTTAGTCCGTTTTTCTTTTGTTGTTAGAAGCAATCTATATGGAAAAATGCGTGGAGTTTTCTGAGTGACCGGAAACTTCGAGATCTGTGGTTTCACGGTGGCTTTAAATCTTGCAAGGCACATTTCCAAAATGTGTTGCCAAGGCGGGAGGATCCGGTGGAAAGTGGTAGGGCGTTCCCCTTGACAAAAAAACGGTAGATAGCTGTCGGGTATATGTAAGTTGAAGAATGGTCCTACCACTAAGTAACGTACGCCCTTTTGATTTTTGTCTGTTCATTTTTCTACCCTTGTCCTTTTTGGCCTTCTCCCCGTTCTTTAGATCTGTGAGCTGTTCCCCTCCGACTGGTCAGGCGATAAAATCGATATTGTCAAAGTCCTAAAACGCATCCTGTAATGACGTCGGTTTCCGATTAGGTAGTCCAACACCAGCCTGCAGGTATTTCCGTCTGCAGCGGCTCTGGTGGATACGACCCGATTGTTTAAAAAAATGGATTTTGAGATCTGAAAGTCGAGATCGCATCGGCAATGAACAATATGAAACAATAAAAACAGAAGTCAGAATGCTATTTATTTGTATAGTGAAACTTCGATATATAGTACACTCGTTTTGCTAGATAAGTTACAGTGCCCGAACTGAGCAGTTTTGAGAGGTTCGGGAGTTCTCTTCCAAAGGTGTAGATTGTTGAAACGGCTATTAGCATTTGATACGGCTTTTTGAGCCTAAAATTTTGATACATGCTACCTCCTGTTCCTCAAGAAAAACTCATCAACAGTACTTGTCCCTGAAGTGGCGCGCTGATGCCATGTGATCCTCTCCTCAAAGAACTTGGACTTGAACTGCTCAAAGATCTCCTTACTCTTAGGAAAACTCACACTGTTTTGCTGGAAAAACCTGTCTCCCCACATATACACAAACCGTTCCATGTCGCTGACGCTGATAAAGTCAGACGTCAGCTGCGATGGATGAGACAGGTTTGGATGAGTAGTTGTCTGTTGCGAAATGGACCTGTTGACCTGGTTCTCAAGCGGCAAGAACGAGTTTAACTGGTTGATATGATACCCCGGGTGAGGCTGTTGAACTTGCTGAACCTGGTTCTGCAAGGCTTGGCTTTGCTGTTGCGACTGAGTTTGTGGCTGTTGAACCTGCGATTGAGACTGCTGCTGCGATTGCTGCGATTGGGGCTGTTGCCCCGTCTGTTGTGGTTGCTGTGGTTGTTGAGAAGTCTGTCTTTGGGTGTATCTTCTGCCAAGGGGAGGGATTACCGCGCTCGAACCGGTAGGATCCTGATTCAAAAGCTGCGAAACTTCGTACGGAGTGAACCTGTCAGCCTGGCCCGAAGCAGCTGTCTCAATGGACGGAATCCCGTAGTCCGCACCTGTATCGGGGCCTCCAGTGGTGGAAAACCCATCGTGAAGCCCAACCTTTGGATCCACAGTGTCTACACCATCTAACTGGCCAATGCGGTTCCTCCCAACAGATTCACCGTTCACCATGTTCCTGATACTCGTATTGCTTCCGTTCCCGGCCCCACCATTACTGTTTCCAGGTGGCGATCTCACACCTTCAATATGACGATCCAGTCCATGTCTTCTCTTGAAAGTGGACAGCCATCCATGCGAAAACGAGTCCAACCGTTTTGGGTCTTCAACGCCAAATTTGTGTGCCATCTGCGACCAATATTCGCGCATCACGGGCTCCGTCAGTGGCTCGTTAGCAGCGAGTTTCTTCTGCACAAACTCGTACATTGCTTTGTTGATACGATCATACTTGAATCTGCTTTTGCGCTTTGTCTGTCTCATCATCTCACCGGTTGGGCCATCAACGGTCCTCGCCATATTGTAGCGCTCACGCAAATCCTGCTCGTTCTTCAGCCACTCGCTAAAACTCGAAGTAGAGATCGAAAACCTCTCTCTAAAAAACTCCACAGTCTCACTCTGAGGCCGTTTAGAACTGTGAAAGTGATTAAGAATCATGATCTTCTGCTCCAGATTAGCCCTCGGAAGTCTTCCTAGTCGGGGAACGTCCAGTCTGGATTCCATCTTGCGGAAAACAATTGTCTCAACTATTGACAATAGTAATACCAATCACAAAATCAATCAAATATATCCTTGTATCAAATCTGAATGAAAATAAAGCAAAGAGGATCGAGTCAGTTCCTTTTAGTCGTCTTTGTTGAAGGGCCACAACGCGATTTGTTGTAGTTTTGAAAGCAGAGGTGTGGAAGCCGTCCTGTTTCTTGTATTGATTTAAGGGGGGTGGGTGGGACACGCAAAATGGACGAGATGAGAGAGATCATGGATAGAGGTTGAAGCAATCTGAAGAAGTAAAATTATATGGATGTATAGTGGAAGTTACATAATATACGTGAATGCTATGGTCTATTTCAAATAAATTCAAACGTGTTTCAATAAATCACTAAGCACATGATTATTAGCTCATGATTTGTGTACACTCGTGCTATTGAAGCAACCGCTATTGCCTGAGAATGGCTAAATTAACGACAAGCATACTTATAACTACTCTTCTGCATTCAGAATCTGTTTAGTGAGATCCAGCAGATCTGCTGACCCTCTCGAGAACACTTTCGTAGGCAACCTCGCTGAAGTCGGTACCTTGGATATCGGTGGAAACACCGTTCAAGGCCCTTCTGAGCGCATCCTTGCTACTGGCGTATACCATCTTGGATCTCACGTTGGCAGTATCTGGAGCCCACTGGTAGAAAACGATCTTGTTACGCTTGCCCTCGCCCTTGCCGAGCTCGTACTCAAAGTCGTAAATCGCGTACTTGCACTCGTCCTCGGGAAGCTCGCCCAGGAATGAGTCGTAGTCGGTGTCAGCGCTGGTCTTCTCAACCACAATCTCGGTCTTGGCATCGTTGAGCTTGTAGATGATGTACTTGATTTTCTTTCCCAGCTTCAATTCGTTGAACGCCTTGAGCGCATCATCGGAAACGGCAACACTGAACAGTTAGTATGTTGTGGATCTTCCCTTTAGGCAATTCAGCCGCGACTAATCACCACTAATTTACTCACCCTGATCTGGACTGTAACGAAGTTAGCACACTTGAAACATAACAATATCACGGAGGCGACAGGCAGATCTCGAATTCCATTGCTCGTGCCAATCTTTTTGCAGGCAGTCCGCACATTCAATGGCTCAAACCACTGATCTTCCGTCACAATTGAACACACATACCATGTTTTTTTTTATTTCAATTGGGATGAATAAAGCAGTATTATTGAGTAGAAAGGGGGCGCTCTTGTCGACAGCGAAGGCCACCTGGTGTTCCGGAGTGTCGGTGCTGCGTAACCAATTTGTCTGCCCACCCTAACGCGTCTCCGCAAAATAGAAGACTGGCCTACTTCTAAATTGGCACGCTCTCTTTTCTTGAAATTGTTTTTAGCTTGTTTAGAGTGTGTCCAGATGGATGATGAAACTGTTTCCGGTTTCCACGAGCGATTGGTGAATCTGGAGCACCAGATCTTACCGTCATACTCTGGAGCTCGCGAGAACGATTCGATCCGTGAACAGATATACGATAGGTTACAGCGATTGCACGGATTTGAGGCCGAAAATCCGGAAATTCGCCAGTTCTTTAGTTTACTGAGAGGTGAGTAGTTTGGAACAATCAGCTGGCGTTCTCATATATTTTTGGTTGCTAACTCTGAATAGCAAACGGTATGTACCTTGATCTTCCAGGTTTGGGAAAGCCACAGTCAACGGAAGATATAAATGTCAAAAGGGCTGTCGTTCTTTCACAGCTGGATTCAATGCGTAAGCTATTGGCCAAGTATGATGAAATGTTGTTGCTTGTTCCCGTGCTCGACAGACTCAATACGTCCATTTCGCAGTTACCCCACGGCTTTGAGAGTGAGATCGACATGATGAGAGTGGCCCTAAATAAGGTGGTATCTAAGTTCAACAAACTAAGTCTGAGGTCTATTGAGACAGTGGAGTATGTTGCTCAGTGTGTTCAGCGAGAGAACCAGAATTGGGCTGACGTTGAGAGCAGGTTGAGGGCGATAGAGCAGAGACTGGACGTGAAACTTGCGCAGAATTCAGTGTAACGGATACTGTTGAATATTGGAACAGGTCTGAAATTCTTCTCAGAATCAGCCAGTCCTCTATTCATACAAAAATCGAAAAACTACGGAATTAGGAACTCACGATAAGCAATCTTGTGCGGCTCACGGCCAGCTGTCTCTAACGAGACACCTTGATTTTGCATTTCCGACAAAAGGTCCCTTTGTGATCAAACCAGCTTGTCATTGACTCCTTTATGACTGATATGAGTCATAAGTCACGCACAGTGTGTCTTTGCTGCAATAAAACGGTGAGTCTCGTGATCTCGTGATCTCGTGATCTCGTGATGAGTCAGGAGCCGGAAACGAAGCGGTTAGCGATAACGCATGTAAACGGCTAAATATGCTGGCCAAGAAAAATTCCTCGGGTCAAATTATGTTGCCAAGCTGGTTGTTTTGGATGCTTGGGTGTTTTTCATTTTGGTGGCTTGCAGACCGCCATAAATGAGTTCCAACATACCGTCTCTACGTCCTCGTGGCTTGTGGAGACTTGTGTTATCAGCTACACTCTCCCTTCTTATCTAACGCTTTCATTAAATTATGAACTAAAAATTTGAAATAGCGACTAAGCAACTACACGGAGATCACCAAGAAGCTGGGCCAAAAAAATCCCCAGCTGCGAGCACCTCCTGGATGGCAGTGTTCGTCATGTCCATGGTCTCATCGGTTATATTGTTACCCCACCACGAGATAGCAGCTGTCTTAGTGAGCGAAATAGTCAGGAAGATGAGCAGCGAAGACCAGGCAAGACCGATGTCGAGACCTGCAGATAGAGAGTAGTTGTACTTGGACCACCAGTGGAACCACTTCTTCTTGATGAACCATCCGAAGAAGATTCCGACAACACAATACGAGCCGTAGTTATAAGGAGTTGCTGGAGGGATCATATTGGTTCCAGAGAAGAACACTGGCCAGTTGAGGTACTTAACGTACGAGTTTGGCCACTTCTTAAGAATCAGCCAGTTGATGATTGGCAAGATGGCTCCGATGATAAAGAAGAAGAGAGTCCCGTAGTAAGTCTGACCGTGCGAGTATTGACGTTGTGGTCCAATGACACCCCAAATGATGGACGCGTTGAAGAAAGTACGGGCTCCAGGACAGGTGAATTTATCGACCTGAGTGGTGGAACATACGTTTTCGTAGGCACCTTGGGCCCATTTGAGAACGGCGATCTGGACCAAAGAACCCCAGATGGCAGCGGTAAATTGAGCAGTGAACAATAGCCTTGGCGAGATCTTCATGTAATTACCCAGTTTCATGTCGGACGTGAATTGAATTGCTTGGAAGTTGGTGATGTAGCCGTAGGTCTTGAACAGCATCATAGCAATTGGCTTACCTGGGATCATGTAACCGACAATGACCTCGGTAATGACGTTAAGTCCGACTGAGATGTTGGTAATAGCATGAATAATACCTGCTGGGATCAGCATAATTATGGCGATGCAAAGGGCAACCACAAGCGACCACACCGGCATCTCGGTGTTCCAAGCTCTAATGGTAGCAACAGACATACCGAAGAATATCACGAACACAATGGCATACCACCACTCAGGAACGTTCTTGTACTGTTTCATGAGTCTGGAGTGAACATCCGGCTTCATATTTTTCCACTCTCTGATAGTAGCAACGACATCTGCACCATGGAAGAGCACTGCATGCACGATGGTGGAGGTGAAAGATGCAAAGGACATGCCGTAGAAAACGGCAAATGTGGTGGACAAGTACAATGGCGAGTATTCCTTGTACTTTTCTAAGTTCAGTGACAAGTCTGAGTTAATGATTCTGGAAACGTTGTAGGTTTTCTGGAAACGGTCGTAGGAGCCAGAGCTTGACATTGGCAAGTACCTTCCGAACCAGGTGTTGGTGTAGTGGAGGGCTGGGGTCACGATCCAGAAGATGATCACCATGGAAGCAAAAATGGTGACTATTGTGGAGATTGGGGGCACAAGTGGAGATCCAATGTATGAAGAAATCTGGTTCCAGTCAAAAGTGAGCGGAATGAGACCAAGACCAGTGTAGGCTCCAAAGACCTGGTTCACCACCACGTTATTAGGAGCAATCCACGTTGGCCATGCAAAGTAGGAAAGCGCCTTGAAGATATAACCTGGGAACCAGTACCAGAAGAACGAGACCAAAAATATTATCAGAAAAAATTTAAGTCTCGAGATCTGCCATCCGTTAGCAGTGTGATTGTCGTTAACGTGAATGTTGGTCAAGAAGGTGGACAGAACCAAGTTCGAGGGCCAGATCATGTTGGAAGGCTCCACAAGGATTTTCCTCATCATACCAGCATATGCAAACCCTATACATTGGGAGGACCAGATCAACACGAGATCGAATCCCCAGCCAAAGTCCACTCCGTAGTGCTGGTTCAATGCCAGAATAACCGCAGTAGCATAAGCTTGACCAGAACCGAAGGACACGTTGGCCATGATGGTGATCAAAGCATGTTCCTTCAAGTTGAAAGCACCTGGGTTAAGAGGAATACCAAACACCTTGAGGTTAGGCATAATCTTCTGCCATGCCCTACCGATAGGCCATGCCAACATGGAGGTAACCAGGGCGGTGATGTAGAATGAAGGGGAATGCATGGAAAATAACACGTTCATGGCAGAACCAATGGTGGTCATCATCATACCCAAAACCCACATTCTCCAGGTGTTCTGGGGAATTGTGGGATCATCGAAAGACGAGACCGCAGCTCTCACCTCTGGATAAGGTGAATCATCTGGAATATGGGTTTGTGCATATGCATCGTCATCAACTTCCTTGGTCAGCCTCTCAGCCAGAGGATCGTACTCAGAAGAAAGCGACTTGACAGGGACCACACCCTCTTGGTTGGTCAAGCTGCTATTTGCCTCGACCTCAATGTCGTTAGTGAAGAAGTCTTTAACCTTTTCCATGGTGCTCGCGGAATCTGCAGCCTCTAACGGTTGGCAAAGCACGTAGGGCTGGTGGCTAGGATATATATATATATATTCGTCAACGTGCCTAATCCACTCGAAAACTCTCACACTTCTACGATATCAATCTCCTATTGTGCATTATGTCCTCCGTCTCTAATCGCCGGGTGGGATTTTTTCGCGGGACTAACAAACTAGCGGATTTTTGCTCCGAGGTGGAAATAGCGATGATGGATTCACGGATTTTTGGTCCGAATCTTTGATTCGAGCAAACCACGCTCTCCTAATCACCTATGGGTGACTGGATCGGGGATTCTTATCAGCTCCGTACTACCTTGGCATTATTACGGTTTTGAAATTCTTCGTTGGCCAAGTCATGGAAAGGATACAATAGAGCGCCAACCTCTTTGGCATCGTTAAGGGCTGGAGGTGGGGGGACTCATATTGTATCACGTGACTGGTTGCACCTCTCTCGAATTAATTCTGGGTACAACGCACTGAACCATCTGAGGTGGGCTCTTGCTAGTAGCCATGGGTTTCCAAACAATCCTCGCCAAAAATATTTAACTCGGAACAGCCTCGCGATGTGATATTTTTTGAGATCAGATCCTACCAATCCAGACCTCCACTACCAGATAAGCCGGTAGTGCACCGACACCGGATGGACCTCGGAAACAATTTCCACCCCAATCGGGAATATGCCAGATAAAGCATGCCGCAGCTTGCAGAAACCAAATGCAGCTGAAAAAGGTTATTTTGTGGTACCACAGATCAAGTCTGGTTTGGCTTGGTAGCCTGATGGCATCGCAAGTGCAAATCAAAATTGGATTAGCTATTTAAAATAAAGAAAAGCCTGGATCCTGCAGGCATATAAAATAGCGCCCGAACCAGCACCGCTTACCACGAAGTGGGACCAAAACCCTCCCCCTCTGCGAGAACCACACGAATGGCGGTCTTGGTCATATCCATGGTATCGTACGTGATGTTGTTTCCCCACCAGGAGATGTAATCTGCGTTGGTCAAATCCAAACACAGGAAGATCATCATCGAGGCCCATGCAAGACCAAGGTCAAGACCAGCAGAAAGCGAGAAGTTGTACTTGGACCACCAGTGAAACCATCTCTTCTTGATGAAGTAGTTGAAGATGATTCCCACAGTGCAATAGGTAGCATAATTGTAAGGGGTTGCTGGTGGAATACTTGATGAACCCCCGAAGAACACGGGCCAATTGATGTACTTAACCCAAGAGTTGGGGTACTTTCTCAAAACAAGCCAGTTGACGACGGGTAGAGCGGCACCGATGAGGAAGAAGAACAGAACTCCATAGTAGAGCTGACCCTCAGAGAAAAGTCTAGTTGGTCCAATGACACCCCAGATAATGGAGGCATTGAAGAACACACGGATACCAGGACAAGTGAAATTGTTTTTTTGGGTGGATTGACAGACATCGACGATGTTGCCTTGGGCCCATTTCATAACGGCACAGTTGACAAGACCACCCCACACACCAGAGAAGAGTTGGCAGGCAAATAACAGACGAGGACTCAGCTTCATGTACTGACCCAACTTCATATCTTGGGCGAAAGTGAGTGCCTGCAAGTTGACGATGAAACCAAAGGTCTTGAAAATCATCATACTTGCTGGCTTACCTGGCACCATGTAACCAATGATGAACTCGGTCACAACATTGAGAGCAATTTCAATATTGGAGATGGCATACACCACTCCGATTGGGATAAGCATGAACATGGCAAGTAGAATGGAGATTACCAAAGCATACACTGGCATCTCGGTGTTCCATGCGCGAACAGCCACAATGGCAAGTGCAAAGAAAATCGCGAACACGATACAGTACCACCATTCAGGTACACCCCTGTAACTTTTCATCAGTCTGTAGTGAACATCGGGATTGGCGTTGTCCCAATGTCTCAGGGTATGCCAGATATCCGCTCCATGGAAGAGGTAAGCGTGGACAATAGTAGCTGTGAACGAGGCAAACGACATACCGTACGATATAAAGAATGTGGTGGACAAGAACAGAGGAGAATAGGCCTTGTACTTCTCCAAATTGAACGACAGGTCGCTATTAATAATCTTCGTCACGTTGTAGGTGTTCTGGTAACGGTCGTAGGTCGACGAACTCGAGATTGGCAGATACTGGAAGTACAGCACATTCGCGTAGTGAATAGCTGGAGTGATAATCCAGTACATTACCACCATAGAAGCCGCAACACTGAAGATGGTGGAAAGAGGAGGAACCAGAGGAGAGCCAGTGTAACCAGCAATTTGCTCCCAGTCAAAGGTGATTGGGAACAAGCCAATACCGGAATATGCACCAAACACCTGGTTTACGATCACGTTATTAGGGGCAATCCAAGTTGGCCACGCAAAGTAGGAAAGGGCCTGGAAAACGTAACCTGGGAACCAGTACCATGCGAACGAAGCTGCAAAAACAATGAGGAAAAATTTAAGTCTGGAGATCTTCCATCCGTTGGCAACATGATTATCGTTGATGTGAATATTGGTCAAAAAAGTGGAAGTAACCAAGGTGGATGGCCAGATCATGTTAGAGGGTTCCACGAGAATCTTTCTCATGAGACCAGCAAAGGCAAATCCAAGACATTGAGTAGCCCAGACAATACAAAGGTTGAATCCCCACCCAAAAAAAGTGTTGTAGTGCAAGTTCAGCACCATGACAATATCTGTGGCATATGCTTGTCCATTTCCAAAAGCGATGTTGGCCATGATAGTGATAAGAGCATGTTCCTTGATGTTGAAGGGACCAGGGTTAAGAGGGAGACCAAGAACTTTGATGTTTGGCATTACTTTCTCCCAGGCTCTGCCCAAAGGCCAAACCAACACAGAGACAACAAATGTGGACAAAAAAAACTGAGGTGAGTGCAGAGCAAGAATCATATCCATACCGGCACCAATGGTAGCCATAAGCATACCCAAGACCCAGACTCTCCAGGTGTTCTGGGGCATACTTGTGTCGTCAGTAGATGGGACCGCAGCTCTGACTTCCGCATATGGCGAGTCATCCTCAATGTGCATCTGAGCATAGGCATCCTCTTCAACCTGCTTGCTGAGCATGTTGGCCAGAGGGTCAAACACAGACGAAGCAGACTGGACCGAGGTCAGCCTGTGAATGGCTCCTTCCTCGAGCTCGACCTCTTGAGCGAAAACGGTGTGCTTGTCCTTCTCCATATTTACAAGCAAAAGTTATCCAAGACAACCCTAAGATTTCAATTGAGAGCACTGGGTACAAGAGAAGGTCAACAGGAGTGTTTATAAACCTGGAGGGTGCGTGGAATTTTACCCAGTCTTATCATCTGTCCCCCGATTTGGACTGATATAAGGATATAGCACGTAGCACCGTCCGATAAGATCGGCTATGGGTTGTCAGACTTCCGCAAGCTCATTTTCTCGGATTTTTTCGGCCAATTTGAATTGATAACTGCGGCCTTCTTGATCTAGCAGAAATGCTGGTTTCCAAGTGCCAGACTATTCTCTCTGGCCTTTGATATTGCGCGGGAACTGGGCCACCTCATAGACGCCCGGCTATCCGATATAGACCAAATACTCTTGTCGTCCACTTTGTAAGCCGCTATGGAATGATTTCAAACAGCCGATCCAATCGAGACTATAGACTAGCTCATCGCATGCATATGGGTCCCGATAAGGTCGGATTTGAACACAGCGTCTTACGGGGGTATTCAGACGGCAAATTACTCTATTTTTCTTATCCAAAGCTTCTGATTTTTAACGCAGAATGCGCACAGATTCATGACAGATCACAGAGTTGTGCTGAACTCTCCAAAGCTACGTAGGCGTTTGCTTTTCAAGATTATCCGGGATCCCGGGTTTCCAGGTCCGGTAGCATGCATGAGGAACCCTATAGATTTTTCGGTTTTTTAGCCCCTTCGGAAGTTGCATTATTTTTTGCCGAAATGGGCTCGAGCCTCTTACGCAAATCGTGTGGTATCTTTCACATTCAGCCCCATGATGTGCTTGCTGAGGGTGATGGCTTATCGGGATTGTCATTGATTATTCTCTTCTAATCGAAATTAATCTTTCTGTAGAGAACTTATGCCATATTGGCAAAAGGGAGTGGTTATCTTCTGACCCAACGAACCTTGACCCACGTTGAATGCCCGATGCATGCGGTGCTCAGGCAAATAAGGTCTTGATTGCCGAAATTTGGGATGACCTTTTACATGGGTTCGAGAAAAATGATGAGATCTCGGTTTTTGAAGGGCAGTTTCATTGAGTTTTGAACCACACCTCTTTTCACAAAAGCACACCCCGCCTTATCTCTTTCCGATGTTGTGTTACTGTTAATGTATGCGGCTATCTCTGGAAATTTAGCTCTGTCGATCATTTCTTGACTCTATTATTGTTTTTGAGATTAACTTTTTGTTTTTGATGCTCGCTTGACTAGTTTCCCATTCACCCACACCACCTTTCTCGTTTATCATTATGCGTGTCCTTCAAGCACATCCTAATATGTACCCCCAATGCTTATCTTGTTTGGTCGTGCTGCTCCCATCATGGAAAAATTTTCCGAGCTCATCGCATCCGGGCTCGTAACTCTCCGGACTCAACTGCAGGTGTAACCAGGCATTAAATCTTAATAAAGTATGGGGTTCTTCACAGCTTTCGTTAGACGCGGTGTGTAGATATGCGGTTGGGTCATGTGGTGAGGAAATATTTGGGACAACCTAGACTTGTGCTGCCAAAAATTGCGGATGTTCCGGGCTATACACAACCTAGGCCCGCGGAAGACGACACCATAGTGGTGTCCATGTCAAGCGGTGTGGACTCCTCGGTGACGGCAGCATTGTATGCTCAGCGATACAAAAATGTTCATGGGATTTTCATGGCCAACTGGACATCTGAGAATGATAAGAGTTGCACAGAGGGCGATTGGCGAGAGGTCCAGCATCTGTGTAAGCAAATTGGTATACCATGCTCGAGAGTTAGCTTCGAGCACGAGTACTGGGCGGACGTGTTCATTCCAATGATCGATATGTACCGGGCAGGTCTGACGCCGAATCCGGACGTGGGATGTAACAAGTATGTCAAATTTGGGAAGATGGTGGAGCATCTCCATGACTCGTTTGGAGACCAAGGTAAGAACTGGTGGTTAGCCACTGGCCATTATGCTCGTATGATGCAACACGACGAATCGGGCCAACTGCACTTGATGCGAGGGACTCAGACTGAAAAGGACCAGAGTCATTACCTTTCCACAATCCCGCATAATGCTATGAGCCGATTGTTGTTTCCATTGGGTCATTTTAGCAAGCCGCAGGTCCGACAAATGGCCTCGCAGATGGGCCTGATATCGTCTTCGAAACCCGATAGTCAAGGCCTTTGTTTTGTCTCACATACCGGAAACAACTTTCGAGACTTTCTTGATAGCTATATTCCCGAAAATCCTGGAGACATAATTACTGAAGACGGTCTGGTGGTTGGCAAACATAAAGGTCTTTGGCACGCTACAATTGGTCAAAAATCTGGGGTATCCATGCCTCAGGGAGATCCTAAAACCAAGGGTGTTTGGTTCGTTAGCGAGAAGAGGCCAGAAACAAACGAGCTGGTTATTGTCAGGGGAGGGAATAATCCGTCTTTGTTCAAAAACGGGCTTGTCGTCCAGGATTGGTACTGGCTTTCTCCAGATCTTGGAACGAGTCTTCCACCTCTAGACGAGCTCACCGTCCAATTCCGATCCCTCCAGTCTCCAATCCCGCTATTATCGCTCTTCGCAAAAGACTCGGAGCTGAAGTTCTTACTTGCCAGGCCGTACAAGGGCATTGCTCCGGGTCAAACTCTGGTGCTGTATCATGGTGAGCGGGTTCTGGGTTCTGGAGTAATAACGAGCACTTTTGATGAAGATTAAGGCTTATTTTCTGGCTCATAGATAGGTATGAGATTTTGGAAATTAGCACTGCAGTGGTTAACTATGCAGATACCATACGCAGCATGACAACTAATGTGTATACGATAAAAAGACTGAATTTTAGTCTCTTGATGGCTTATAATTCCTTTCAGAGTCTGTGTAGTTGATTAGTTTTCGTAAGCATCGAAATTCCTTACCAGTTCGTGGAAGAATGCAACTCCCTCGATATGAGCATTGAGCTCAACCTTTTCGTCAATGGCATGAGCGTTTTCGCGGGCGTTCTGGCGAATTGGAGTGAATCTATAAATATTCTCTGTTAGTCTCCAGTACCATTTGGTATCCGTATTTCCAGTCATCACTGAGGGAGCAACGGTTACTTCAGATCCGACTTCAAGGTCTGAGCCAGGGAACTCTGCAAAATCCTCAAAAATGTGTCTAATTGTTCCTCCAAGAAGATCCCAAGTTGGGTTATTCGTAGTCGAAGTCATTGGTGCAGGATCAAGCTGATTGCTGAAAGAGAGAACAAACTGACCACTAGGCAGTTCGGCAAATTCCGTGCTCTTAACGGTGGAAGTCTCATTGCTATAGGAAACAACACCCAGCCCATACTTATCCGCGACTTTGGATACTTTGGCAAGAATTTTGTTCTTGACAATTTCAACAGACGATTCATATGCAACTCGATTGTTAATTTTGACAGTCACCTGTTCGGGAAGAGCATTTATCTTGACTCCTCCGTAAATGATGTCGACTGCCTGCGATGTCGAAATCAGCATCCTGGAAATGATGTCCTCGGAAATTTTCGTTAAAGCCCTCTTTTTGGCGTCTGCATTCTCCAAATTAAGCAAGTCTGCCCTGAACCCATTGTCCATTGAGTTTGCAGCTTTGGCCTCACATTGGAGCTGGTAATAGAAGGGATTCTTAGGGGAGATGTCAATTGGATAGAGTTCAGATTCAATTTCTGTAATGACCTCAGCAAGAATACCAATCGATGTGTGTCTTGGTGGGACAGAAGAGTGACCCCCATCAGTATCCAGGGTCACGATAATGTCAATGTAACCCTTCTCACCAGTAGAAGGATAGGCGAAACGCGACCCATACTTATCCTGTACTCCCAAACCACCCTCGTCGATTATGGCAAAAACACTGTTCTCACCAAGTTTTTCGAGAAGATATTCTGCAATATGCGAAGCGCCATTTTTTCCACTGGTCTCCTCATCAAAGCCAAGTGCAATGATGATCCCCCGTTTGTTGTCGAAGCCCTTTGAAAAGAGTGCTTCAAGTGCCTCAAAAATTCCAATCACGTTGTTCTTGCAGTCAGATGATCCCCGTCCCCATAAATATTTTCCATCAAAGTAGCTGTCAAAGGGAGGATGTGTCCATCTCAGTGCTGTCTCTGGAGGAACAGGCACTACATCTTGATGACCCGTGAGCATCAACGGCTTCAAATTCGGATCCGACCCTGCAATGGAAAACACCAATCCGTGAGTGTTCACACGATGTAATTCTGCCTTTGATGCCACTGTGGAAAACGTCTTCAGCAAATAGTCTTCGAATTCGAAAAAGACGTCCCATCTTGGGTCTTCTCCAATGGTACCTAAGTCATCATAGTTAGGAGTGGCTATCCTGACTGCCCCACCCCAAACGTCCAGAGAAAGATTCCTGTACTCAGGCGTATGAAAATACGACAGATTAAACAACGATCCGTCGAATGCGGGGGCCAATTTAGACAAGGATGGACATCTATCGGCATCAGCAAGTCCAACAGCATCAGGGTATACACCCATTGCTACCGGAGCAATGTAGCGTGAAACCCCCAAAACTCCTATCACACCAGCAATGGTGCCCACCACTAAGCGGCGCTTTTTCGTTGATATTTCGAAGGCAACCATTTCTCGTTAAAGCTTTTGAGTTCAGAAAGAAGTGAAAGGGGCTGATTGTTCAGCCGACTAATTTCAACGAGAGATAAACCGAGGTGATTGCGCTGTTTAGAACGATTTTAGGCAATCCTATGTGCGATGATCAAATAATGTACACGGCTCGGCATAATTACTTCCCTATCGGGTAAGCGCGTATGCAATCGAGAACTTGCAGGTAGAGGGCCTGATTAGGCAATAGTATCGAAGAGGACGGCGGTTTTGGTTAAGGATAACGGCGTTGTGGAGGGGAAAAAAAGTATAGAATAAATCTTTAAATAAGTTCGCACGAAATTTGCAACACATCGAAATTTCAGGGTCTAAAGAGCCTTCTCTTCGTCTTCGTCGCCATAGTGCTCCACACCGTCCGCAATATTGGTGATCTGGAAGAAACCGCTTGGATGTTGCAGGTGGACAATGTAAGCCATTGCGACAGCTACAAATCCAAAAACAGCAGCAAAAACTGTCGAGGCGAGCAGACCATTTTTGACGTAGGGTTGATCCTGCGTAGGATACAACACAATCGGGAACCATGCCTGGAACGAGTAACTAAGGGCGTTCATGAAGGTTGAAACGAAAGCGCGTTTGAGTGGGTCTCCCGCAAGCAGTTCGTTGACCCAACTCCAGATCTGAGCTGCTGCTCCTGGAGTCAAGCCACAGAGGTAGTATAAAGCCCATCTACCTGCACGATTAGCTGGGTGAACAGGAAGCAGCGCCAATGCAAGGTTCACTGGGAACGATACTAAGGCTACCCAAACAATGATCAGCCAACGACGACCATTTAACCAGTTGTCTGAGAGGTAAGCGTATATCACTGTGGATACAACCTGAATTGCATACATTGGAGTTGGGTAGATATTGATCTGGGAAACCGTGAACTCACCCTTATAGGACTTGAACCAGTAAGGCAACGAACTGGATGCCTGGCCGGCCAATCCCATGAGAGTGAACAATATTCCAAATCCGTAAATGTGCCATGTGCTGAACCAGCGAAAGAAATCTTTCTTGGTGTAAGTTACCTTAACGTTGACTTCATGGGGGATACGTGTTTTGGCCAGATCCACTTCTCTCTGAGAGAAGATCCAGTTTGCAGATTGTTGTCTTGGGACATCTGGAAGACCCACCACTGTGAGAAGTGCCAGTGGCAATGAGATAATCCCGTCGACGATAAAGAGCCATCTCCATCCAGACCGGCCGCTTACTCCGTCCAAACCGTCATATGCGGCAGCTTGAAGGTATCCACTGAACATTGGACCAACACCAGTACAAAACTGAATGATTGCAGATCTCTTTGTCAGCTCACTCTTTTTATACCACGAGGCGGTGATATACATGATTCCCGGGAAATGGCCGGCTTCGATCAATCCAAGAAAGAACCGAGCCACATACAACCCTCTGTAGGTCTTGACTGCGGAGGTCGCAAAGGTGATGATCGCCCATGCCACCTCAATAAAACCAAGCACATAATGTGCCTTGAGTTTAGTCAAAATCACTGAGCAAACCAGTTGTCCAATAATGTAGCCCACAGACCAGCACGCATTAGCATAATTGAGTTCGTTGCCAAACATGTTCAATTCCTCTTTCATACCAGAGACGAAAGCATTGGTGATGTTATTCTGGTCAAGATATCTCAGAAAGACTCCAGCAGCGCCCAAAAACAACAGGGTTGAGTCCAATTTGAACAACAGCCATCTCTCCTCTTTTCCGTAGTCCAAAGAGTCCCAGAGCTTCCCTCTCCATGTATGCCTTTGCGGACCGAACTCATACACCGAGGGCGATGGATCGTGGGTGGCAGAGTCCTCTGGAGACTCCACCAAGTTAACCGTTAGGATCTCGTCGGTCTTTTTTTCTGACATTCGTCTTGAATTTCAGTAATGCTACTACTACCAGATGATCTGCTGACAGAAATTGGCATAACCATGTATATATACCGCCACAGCATGAAGCGGACTACAGGACTTTTGACAGATAAAAGCCACGCAATGGCGAATAGCTAAGCAAAACGTTATTCTGCCGGTAGGTGTGGGGAACTGCTTTCTAATCTCGGGCTCATACCGGATTATGTCACTAACTGTGTCAAGACCATTTAAACTCTTACAACTGTGTGTAAGCTGCTGGATTTGCTTCCGGGGACAGCTGTAATTCCAGAGAATCGTGAAAATTTTTAGATTTCCACTCATGGAGTATATCAACTCTACACTTTCGAACCACATCTTGAAAGTCTATTGAACTAGTCTACACACAAGGTGTAGTTCTTCGGCTCAATTCTCATACGCACCCGGTTTAACTTGGGCTTGTCATCTTGACGTAGGATATTGCAAATGCACCGGGCGATAGCATCAATGTCACGTGATCTTATCTGACATGATCTTAGACCGTAAATACTCCGCGATTGCAACTGACACCCCGAATGGCGTATTTAAGACAATTTGGAAGACGTTTATTGGTGGTTGGAGACGGGAGTCAACCCGAGGTATCCACAACAGCGGCCTTCCAGAGTTCATTGACGGTGGCCAACTACGCTCGGGCAATAGCTAATAAATCACGGAAATGATAATATGGTAACTGTGGACAATTGAAGAGTGTATCTGGGTATTTCCTAGTCATTTTTCATTTCCCATTTCCCACGTCTCATTTCTCATTTCTCATGACTCATTTCCCATGTCTCTGAGAGAAAAAAACATCGTGAATCCATTTGGTTCTTTCAAGCTGTTTTCGTCACGTTCTTCTAACGCTTGCAGGAAGTGCGCGCGTTAAAGGCGATGAGGGTATGCTGGTCCCATCTCTTTAGGGCTACGCTTTCGATGAAGCTTCATTCCCTTAACTTCTACAAAGACCCAGACGTTACAGTTTTCAATATTCAAATACAATACTCAGTGTTACATATTTAATTAGTGACACCAATCAGTATTTCTGGTGTTGACTGGACACATTGAGCTTTTAAACATTCCAGAAATTCTCAACCTCATACAACAAATCAAAAATGTCGAGCCAAATAAATAACGTCATCAGCGCAATCCACCAGCGATCAACTCATCAGAAATACTCAACAGAATACCATCTTTCCAGCACATTTGCAGTTAAGACGACGGACCGTCTCGTGAACTCGTTCCCCCCGCCGCGTGCGGACGTTCCCACTAAGGCAGAGTTGCTAGACCCTAGAACTCTATTTCCGCGGCTTGAAGTGTTGCGCGAACATTTCCGCGAGGAAGGGAGAATTGAGCCATTACATGCTATGATGATAATTGATGGTGCCTCGAAACTGTTCAAGGAAGACAGCAAGCGGGCCTTGCGACTGCCTACCCCAAACCAGAAGGGCTACTCGGTAAACGTAATTGGCAGTGTCTATGGACAATTTCGGGATCTTTTGAATATTTTCGACAAGTTTGGCGATCCGAGTCGATCTGCCTACGTTTTCTTGGGAAATTATGTGAATGGCGGTGCTTTCTCCGTTGAGTGCTACCTCTATCTATGTGCTCTCAAGATCCACTTCCCATCCAACATAATCATGCTCAAAGGAAGCGAGGAGTACACCCATGGAGAAAGGAGGAAACAAAACGATAAGCATCTCAAGTTTACGTTCGAGTCTGAGTGCGAGCGCAAATACGACAAATCGCTATTCTCGTTATGTGTGCGATCATTCGCGCAACTCCCATTATATGCCGTTCTGTTCGGCAAGATTCTCTGTGTTCACTCCGGTATATCACCCGAATTCAAGACACTGGACAAAGTTGCCAAAAACGAGCGTGGAGAAGTGGATATTCTTTTCTCGCGATTTGAGTCCGGTTCAAATCCTTTCGTCTATTCTCCTCCCGAATGCTCCAAACGGTACACCAAGACATTCTCTTCTGAAGATGCCGATACGTTTTTGGCCAGATGTGGTCTTAGTGTTTTGGTGAGGTCGCATGAGATGCCTGTTGATGGGCTGGATGTGGTCAAAACGCCTTGTGGAAACACGGTCTTCACGGTTTTCAGTGCTCCTTCGTTTGGAGACACCAAGAACCACGGTTCCGGAATTGTTTTTCAACCGAACGGAAAACTAATGCAAAAAACTCTGAAGAGCATTCCCGATCCATATGTGGCTCCAAACAGCATGAATGCGTTTGAGCTCTCACTGCCAATTGCCTCCAACCACCTCAAGAACTTTGTAGAGCAGTTCGTTACAGGCTTGGGAAACCTATCTTCACCGTTGGACTTTGCATTTCCAGAATTGTCGCTGGAGGAGCAGATTTCGATCGAGAAGCATGCCTCTGTTATCGAGAGGTCTCAGCTCAAAGATTCTGTGCTGAGGGCCTGTGCTTTGCTGTCTACACTCAATAGGTCACCAAACACCCACCGAAGACCACAGGATAATGAGACTCGACCCGAAAAGCGGAATTCGCGCGACTTCCACCCGGTACCGATCATTGTGGACCAATCGCCTTCTCAAGCCTCATCTACGACGGAATCACAGGCAAATCTGCTTGCGTTTCCATTGGAAACCCCCGAATTCGACTTCGATTCATTTTTGTCATCTCCATATCCTGAAGACCCACTGGACACCACAAGCCAGGCCTCCTCCACCCTACCTGGACCCGAGTCACCAAATTTTGACGAATATCTACAGAACTTGTGAATTCAAATGAGTTTAACGCATTATAACATACAAATATATTATTCTGCCTCCTCGAAGTGTTTCCCCCATACAGGGACCAGATAAGGCGTGCACTGAAGCGAGAATTACCCGATTAGGCATAGATAAATCTGGAATCACATTTTCTGCCCCTGGCATCTTATGATTCTGTCTGGTCAATTACTATTAAGCTATACTGTTTTGAATAGATGGAATATCACCTGGTAGTTCTTGTTCATGGGTAAGTGTACTAGTTGTTAAGTTCGCATTTGTCTATTTATTGTGTCGCTAACGGAACAGGCTCTGGGGCAATACATCCCATTTCGACTACATCAAATCGCAGCTAGAGAGCAACGAGTCTCTTCACAAAAGCTCCAAAGAGACCATTGTTGTATACAGAACAGGCTCAAATGAGGGCTACAAGACCTATGACGGTATTGATCTTTGTGGCGGTCGCGTTGCGTTTGAAATAGAGCGAGAAATAGAGTTACTAAACTCCAAGGGGAATGTGACAAAGTTTTCAATCCTTGGATATTCATTGGGTGGTCTTATAGCCAGATACGCAATTGGTTTGCTTTATTACAAAGACGTATTCAAAAATATTGAGCTGATCAACTTCACGTCGTTTTGTTGTCCCCATGTCGGGGTTCTAGCTCCAGGTACTGGGATGGCTGTCAAGTTCTTCAACTGGCTGGTCCCTATACTGCTCGCAAACAGCGGCAAGCAGATGTTTTTGCGCGACAGGGTCAAGACCACCAAATTCTCGATTCCAGAAGGTTCTAGAAACTCATCTTCAACAGATCTCAAAAGTCTTGGCACAGAGATCACTCTGGAACAACCCCTTCTGCTGCTGATGGCCAGTCCGAACTCTGTCTTCTACAAGGCTCTCAGCAGCTTCAAACATCACGTGTTGTATTCCAATGTTGTCAACGACAAACGTACGTCTTGGTGGTCTGCTGGTATTTCGATGATGAACCCGTTCGAGGTCCTGGACACCAATCCGAATGTGATGATCGACGAAGACGGAGTGATCAATTTTGAGAACGGCTCCAAGTTCGAGCTTCACTTTGTGAAGAACTATGAGCCCACAGTTTTGGATGTGAACTCGCCAATTAAGCTGCAGAAGGATCTGGCTGTAATTGAGCTCAAGCAGACCGTTAATCCACTCAAGGGTAATGTTGCACCAGCTGGTCGTCGCAGAGGGGTTGGTGTTGAACAGCAGAACAACGCTCTTCCATCTGGCAACTTCTTCCAGCGCAAATTCAAGTGGGTCAATTTTTTGCTGAACTTTCTGGTCTACGCTCCTGTTTGGGTTATCTGGTTCATTGGAAACAACTTAATCCAACGGGTCAACTCTGGTCTGCGAGTTCTACGCGAGTCAGATAGGAGCGATGTATTGAATGAACTTTACAGTTTCTCAGTGGAGGATGAGCACACGGTCACAGATGTTCCTCAAGAAGTTGAAGCCTCCATTGAGGCAGAAATGTTGATCACAGATGAAAAACGTAAACGTCGTCCAAGTCTTACGAGGAAGCTTTCAGAGACATACGAGGATCTGGGTAAGAACATTGAGGCCAATATCCACGATCACACCGATGGTTTGCTGGAATCGATGTGGGATGCCATGACTTCCAAACCTGCGGGAGAACCTACTCTTTTTGAGCAAGAACATCTACTTACTCCTCAACAGTCTGCCAAAATTCCCCCTGAGGATATCGTCACAATCACCACCACTTTGGAGAAACTGTCCAAGCACGAGTTCAAGCCCCAGGCTGAAGTGGAGACCAAAATTTCATCACCTCCAAAGGAAGATCTTGAAGAGCTGGTGCTGAAGCCGTTTCAATTGGCCCTTTCCGAGGAACAATTGGCTATTATACACAATCTCAACCAGCTAAAATGGAGAAAATTTCCAATCTACATTACAGGCACAATGGCAACGCATGCGGCTGCCATAGTTAGACATCGCGACGAGAACTTTGCTGAAGGTGAAGTTGTCGTGAGACATTGGATTGACGAAGAGTTTAGGCGTGATTGAAGTGCTGGGAATGGGGGTTAGCGATGTGGATTTTTTTTATCTATTCAAGCCGCACGGTCTGCATTTTGTAATGTACATAAATTGGGGTTTTCAGTATTTGCAAAAAGTAGAGATGGTTATTCGTTCAGCAGGCTCAACTCCTCTTCCATCAGCTCCAAAACAGTACCAATCTTGGATAACAATCCGCTGATCTCGTCTGTAAGATGCTGTCTGGATGACCCCGGGTTGTTATCCAAGAAGAGTGCCGGGTTGAGAGTCTGCGATAGCGGGAAGAGAGAATTGCCAACGCTCAATATCTTAGACTCGATCGTAGGAGCAGAACCTACGCTGGTTGCTGCGGTCTGCGCGGTGGTAATCGATGCTGCTGTTGATCCTGATATCGACGAAGAACGCGATGTTGGGTGATGAGGATACTCGTCCGACGCAGTGCTGGGTTTGCGTATCTGCTGTTGCTGCCCAGTCTGGCCCAGTTGCTGTCTCTGCATGGACAGAGTGGAAGTGTGAGTTCTTGGAGGACCTTGTTGCAAAGGAGGTGATGTTGAGATGCTTCCATTTCTTTGCTCTGGAGTAGCAGGTCCGCTAAACACGTTCTGTCTCTCCGTAAGTGGGGTCATCACTTTTGGAGCACCGAGCATCAGATTGGGATTGACCCCAAACTGGTTGATATTTAGATCATCCGTTTTCATGGCGTTGTCCAAAGCACCCAGATTTGGAGGAGCACGTGCCAAGGGTGTCTGGATACGCAATCCAAGGGACTGGGAAGACTCTGCGACCGTCTTGGTAGAATTCATAGGCTGCAACAGAGGTGGCATCGAGGCCGTGCTGGTCATTAAAGGTTTCATAGAGTGAGGCGGTGTGGTGCCGTGTTTTGGCGGCGAAGATGTGGTTCCTTCAAAATGCGAGTGTAGTTGTTTTGTGGGTGATGGTGTGCGCCTGTGGTTATGAGGAGGTTGTGATGTTGGATGTGACTGCATTGTTGTGGAGGGAAGAGTCGGTCTCCTCTGTAGATTCACCGCAAAATCAGAGGTTCCATCCTGCTTATTCAAATTTCGCAGATCCAGATATGAGACACTTGCAGAAGAATGGACTGTACGAGAATCTGACTGCTGTTGCAAAGTCGAAGCCCTCGGTCTCGAGGCGGTTCGAGGTCCCGTTTCTGTCGCGGTTGAAAGAGGAGTGGCCAGAGACAATTCGTCCATACTAGGGATCTCAATCTCCACCATCGGTGAAGCGTTATGTGCGGTTGAATGAGAAGCACTGGCTGTGTTAATAATCTTGGAAGAATCAAATGCAAGAGGTTTTGAAGCGATGTTCAGCTCATGGTCACTCTCTTCGTCTTCCTCCCCATTTTCTTCGAACAACTGCAACAATGATTTCGGGGCCTCTTTTCTGCTCGTCTGTATAGTGGTTCCAGCCCTAAGTGTGGGGTCCTCACGAACTGTAGAGCCAATCCCGGTGCCAATTTGGGTCACATAGGTCTGCTGGTATTGGTTAGTCATAAAATCGTCGTAGTTGTGACGGGCATTGGTTGCATGAACCGGAGACATATCGTTGTTCGTGCTGAAATCGTTGATGTTGTTGATGTTGATATCGTTATCGAGGATATACTCGGCACTGCTCAACGAGTCAAAGTCCCACTTAACATCCAGATCTCCAGCCTCTTCCACATTGGCAATGCTGTTGTCCAGATCGTCTTCAAGACCAGCACCGATGCTGTCTCGAGAAGACTTCTTTTCTCTCCAAAGCAAGTATCGTGAGATCAGCTCCTTCAGAATCGAACTGGGCTGAGGTCTGTAGGTCCTCACAAATTTCGATTTCAGCAAGTCCTCGGCCATCGGGCGTGAATCAGGGCTTTCGTCCAAACATAGTGCTATGATCTCTTTCAATATTGGGGAGTGGTTCCTTCCCTCCAGACGAGGTGGCTCGTGAGACGTGATCAATTGCATCGCGCGCATGGCATCCTTGTCGCTATAGGGTGGATTCCCAGTAGCAAACTCGTAAATGGTGATTCCCAGAGACCATATATCGGCTTTCACATTGTACATTTGGCCATCCATGATCACCTCTGGAGCCATCCAGTACGGAGTTCCAGCCATGGTGGATCTTTTGAGTGCCGTGGAAGTCAGCTGGGCAGCCACTCCAAAATCGCACAGTTCGACCCTACCCTCGTTGGTTATCAAAACGTTTGCGGCTTTGAGATCCCGATGAATTACACCAGCCTTGTGAACTGCCTGAAGTGCCGTGAGCAACTCTCGCACTATGACACCGATATAACGCTCTTCAACGGGCCCGGGCCTCAGTAGTGTTCTCATTGATCCCCCGGCACAGTGGTCCATGACGATCCACAGCCGAGTATTGTTCAGGAAAGATCCATGATAATGGGTAACATTAGGGACTCCTTTCAGCTGGGCCAGAAATTGTATCTCTTGTTGAACATCCTTGACTTCATCTTCAGCTGTGTCCAGGTTCAACACCTTGATTGCAACTACTTGGTTAGTGGCTCTGTGAATTCCTTTGTAAACCACACCAAATTTTCCGCGGCCAATAATCTCGGTTCGCTTGTAAATCTGAGTCACGGGTATATCCGATACGACGGTGGCCGTCATGTTCGTGTGAGCCACGAGCTAGTGGAGATCAAAGACTAGATCTGGAGCACCAAGTGCGGTTCAAGAAATCTCTCGATAATGACGAGAATAAACGGAGACTAAAAGGGGGTCGCGCAAGAACGAATAGATCTTGACGAAATCCAAAAAAGAAGGATTTTCGAGGCTCGAATGTGGAATTCGGTGGAGTGTGAAATTGTCTTTTGATCTTGTTACATGCGCCATGTTAGGATTGTGAGGATTGTGCGGTCTGCCTCCTTTGGGACGGGTAACCCTGGCGCGTGCGCGGCTGAGTGAAGGAAATGATGTGTGGTCAGGACTACAAACAGGCTTGGAAAGAATCATAGAGGATTCTGATGGATATTTTCAGATCTGTCAGACCAGTAATGTTATGAATCTGTATTTTTTTTGCTTTCTTTATCTAACTTTTGACCCTTCCCGCACTGCCTAAAAGGCTATCCCTTTCGGGGTGCGTTAACCATTTATAATCAAAGCGAGCACGGATCACCTAATTGTTGCCCTGGTAATCAGTCTGCTCATCAGCTGAAAAGGGAAACCCAGTTTCAATTGGCTTTGAGATTAAGTTCTAACGAGCCTTTTTCTTCATTTCTTTTATTTTCCTCCAGTCTAGTCGGAATCTCGCTGCCAAATTTTGGTTGCACGGTTCCAGCTAAAACGGTTTTGAGTCGGTCACTACCAGCTTGGCCTTCACTATCTGGTTGTTTTATTTGATACTCGTGATATTTCACATTGCGAATTTCACCGCTAATTACCCGTCTGTCAAACAGTAAGAGTTTGAGAAACAAAAGCTATTCCACAGGTCAAAGCCAACCAGCCTCAAGCCACACGTCTCGGCCTGAGACATGAGACCTTAATCTGGGGAAGCGAAAATCTGGGGTTTGCATGCGTTTGTGCTACTTGCTTACAGACTTCTATCCTCGTGTTTATTTCATTTACTTCCTCTCGCTAGATTACGATTCAGTCATTCGGCAGGTATGGCGTCGGGTTTCGGCTCGGGATCGTTACCTTTGCTCTGTGGTGGGTTCTGGTACTGCTGTTGCTGCTGTTGCTGCTTTCTCTGTCTCTCGTATTCCAATTTGTTGCTTATCAGATAAGTGGCCCGTTCGATCGCTGAGGGGGTCCCCATTAGTGTGAGTTTGCGCTCAAAAGCCCCCGGCACTTCCTCGTTAACCTTCACATAACACCCGGAGGAAGCGCGTATCTCGGCAAGGTTCTTGCCTCCTTTGCCAATTACCAGCCCAATATGCTCTTGCGGAACCATCAAGTCCTGGTTCACCTTTTCCTCGTGCGGCACATACGCCCCATATGGCGGCTGTGGTTTCATCATTGCGCCCATCCCTTGGTTTATATACCCATAACCACCCATGCGTCCAGCGCCATTGGGGTGGCTGTTTCTGCCCATCATTCCTATAGGTCCTCCCACCATCATTCCCATTCCCATATTCATCATTTGGTGGTGGGCACTAGAAGGAGGAGACCCCATCATAGGGTACATCTGCTGGGTATCGATTCCGTAGTTGGCCGGGTTGTAGAAAACCATCTTGGTTACAAAGCCTTTGTGCTCTATCACGGTTTGCGCAACATAGTAGGCTGCAATGTGAATCGCATCTGCCACTCCGTTGATATGCAAGATCCGGTCAGTTGAGTTTGGCAACGTCCGATCGTCTGCCTTCAAAAGCGCAGCTGAGTTCTCCTCAATCTCACGGAACCGTGCACCCTTCTTTCCAATGATATATCCCATGATAGTATGTGGAAACAAAAGCCTCAGGAAGAATTGGTTTGAATCCAATGAAGACGCTTGCTCCAGGGGCTCGTTTAAAATCACCCTTACTATGATACCAAACGCCTTCGCCACGTTCTCAGAGCCTCCTCTTACAGAAATCACGCGTTCTGGAACACCCTTCACGTTCTCGCTCACGTTTATGCGGCAATTGGACATTTCTTTGATTCGGTTGATGGTTTCGCCGCCTTTCCCTACCACTACGGCCGCTTCCTTCACGTTACAGAGCATTCTGAAGTGCACGTACGTGGGGTCGTCGTCCTGAACTTTGTGACTGCTGATTGGGCCAGCTGCAGGCTTTTGGTCTCCATCCTGCTGGCCAACTTCTGATTCATCTGCTGTAGCAACAACAGGCGCAGTGTTTTGTTTGTCGTCATCGATGTCGTGTTGTTCGACGGCCTCGGAATCGAGCGCAACGCGTTTGACTCCGGAAGCCTCGTTCTCTTCGTTCTTTCGCTTGAGCATTCCACCAGAGTCAACTGACTGAGTTAAAGAACGTCAAAAAAATTGATTTAAGTGGGCCAACGGAAGAAGTGCGCGCTGTCGATGAGTTCGTCTTGTTGTGTGGTTATTTGTACAAGACAAAAAAGGTCGTGACAGGAAGGTCTTCGGGGTTATGCAGCGATGGCAAGATACTTTTTGTTTTCGCACGAGTATAGTAGAATCCATTGCGAAAAGCGTGGACTATCTCTGTAGTTTAGGCGTTGAAAGGCGTGTTTTTCGAGCTATTATATTGTTTTTATGTCTGAAAAAGCCAGTGACGAGGAGTACGACGAGTCTCAGGATGAGGACTTTGACCCTTCAGCACAAAAAGAGGCTCTGAGTAACAGCGACGAGGAGGGTGCCGAAGCTCCAGACGAGGAGCTCAGCACGGAGATCGGGAAGGCGCGATATGCTAATATCGAGAGCAGTGAGGGTGGTTTGATAAGAACGCGGAACCAGCGACTCAATGAGGTGAAGGATGCCAAGTCGTTCAACTTGGTTGCCAAAACTACAAACGAAGATATCGATTCGATGTGGGAGGAGATGAAGGCGGCATCAGCACCCAAGACCACACAGGAGAGAAAAGAAGAGGCAGAAAAGGTCGTCAAAGCCCCTCAGACCGTTTCTGACCACGAAAAGATCAAGATTAGAACCACATACGAGTTTGCAGGCGAAACTGTGACTGAAGAGAAGTGGGTGGAAGCAACCTCAGAAGAGGCCAAGGCGTACCTAAACTCGGTAAAACTAAAGACCGAGGAACAGAAAGTACCCCAGAAGCCTTTGCCTCGTAGAGGACCTGTCAAGCGCAAAAGACCTGGTCTTCTAGATGCCGTTATCAACAACTCCAGCACCTCAAAGCTGTCTACTTTGGAGAAGTCCAGACTTGATTGGGCCGGATATGTTGACAAACAGGGAATCAAGGATGAGCTCAAGACATTCAACAAGGGTGGTTTTCTGCAGAAGCAAGATTTTCTTGCGAGGGTGGAGGCCAACAAGGACCAGAAGTACAAGGACGCGAAAGAAGCTCAGAAGAAGAAGTAGAAGAAGAAGTAGAGGAAGACTTGTATATTAGTGACGAATCTGACGAAAAGAAAGACAAAATCAAAGTAAAGGCGAGTTCATATGATACAGATGAGTGAGATCTAATGAAAGAAAGTGTTTATATATTACAGAAACAATGGAAGGAATTGAGGTGTCTAAGTCAGCCTCTATGTGACCTTCTCGAAGACAACCAGTTAATGAAGTCAAAATAGACAGAAGGCTGAATTTTAGAGCTGCTTCCACTAATGCTCCATTTCTTCAAAGAGAGACTGTAGATTGCAATTAGTTTTTCCAGGACAGACTCCTCATTCTCGCCAACTCCGAAATTTTTCATTACCGTTTTTGCAACGAATATGCACGATTGATTGCATGCATTAGAATGGGCTCCTAATGCAGATTTTTCTGCCTTATCTTGGAATTTTTGCATCAACTCAATGTATGACTCGTAACCAGACGACTGGTCCAGAATAATCTTGGTTTTGCATATTTTCATCTTCAACAGTTTATGGGCCTTTTCACCTATGGTTTTCTCCTGAGTGAGAGAAATTAAATCAATCAAAGGCGATAGCATGGTCAGATTGAGAGAAGACTCAGACTGCGAGTCCACAAACTGCTCCAGAAGATCCAAGATACGGCTCTTGAACATCACCATCGTCTTCTTCGCATCTTGGACCTCAAGTTTTCTGGCATTTCCAGATTTTGATTGGACCGAAGAGAGGGCATTTTGACGTTCCTTGAAGATAATGGACAATTGTGAGTCGATGGCCATCATCTGTTCATCCGACATGGACTCAACATCAGATTCCACGTCTGAATCGTCAGAAGAGTCGAACTTGACTTCTCCATCAGCAGAGGCTGGAATTCCAAGAGCTTCTGCCAGTGCAACGTTGGTCTTTCTGTCGACTTCTTCAATGAGAACTTCCGTCTTAAGGTCATCCTGTGACTCGGAGTCTGAGACGTCAGAATCTGATTGAGCATTTTTTTCGCTGTTATCAGTACTGCTATCAGACTGGTCTTCATCTTCGTCTTCGTCGTCGTCTTCATTATCCGAGCTGTGGCCATGGTCATGGCCAGGCCCGTGATCATGGTCATGCTCATCCTCATCACTGCTTTCACCATCATCACTGCTGCCTTCCAGCTCAAATTGTTCATCGCTGTTGAAAATCTTATCGAGGCCTTGCTTATTCTCCTTGGTCAGCAGAATTTCATACAAAACCTCCAAATTCGACTCGCTGATATCTCCCAGTATGGATTCCCAAACCGTCATAGCCAGCTTCTTCATGAATACCGAGTGCTGTGTCAAGAATGAAAGTAAAATGTCTAGTAAAATTCCAGTAGCCTCTTCTTTATCACTCTCATCTTCACCAGCAAAAACCTTTTCATATGCCACTTGAAGCTCTTGAAAAATACCAACTGATTCTGCGTCACCACTATACAGCTGAAGAAGAGTACTGGAGAACAGTAAGTCAAAGCTCATGAGAAGCTTTGTGTCTAGTCCCTTGGTTTTGGCATCTTTTATAAGCAACCAGATCGAGCTCAGTGTCTTCATTGAGTCACTCTTAAATTCCTCGATTTCTTCGTCGAAAGAGGTTCTCAAAACGAAGCCTGGGTCTTGTGCCAGTTTCTCTATCGTCTGAATGATCCCAGAGGTCCACGAAATATCATCTTTTCTTTGAAGATGCAGGATTTCTGACAGAATCGAAGTCATTCTGTCTTGTGAAATTTTGGCAATTTTGTCGCTGTATAAATCGGAGTACTTTTCAGCCTTGAAGAAAACCAGCTTCACGATATAATCGAGGCATACCACCAACCATCCGTTATTCTGGTCAGTTTTGCCTAGATGTTGCTTCTTGGATCTGACCAGATGAAGCATTGTGTCCAGTACAAAGTTTTGGCACTTCACTATATCCTCCATCAGCTTCTCTTGAGAGGAAAGCTCTGTCAAGAAGGATATCACATCCACCAGATCATCATCATCAGTGGAGTTAACAATCTGCTCCACGGTTCTCGACTTCGAGAGTCTGTCGAAGTTGATTGTTCCCACGGGTTTGGAAAGAAGGGCTTTCAAAATAGGAAAGGCTTTCTTTGGAAACTCAGAACTAACCTGGACAATCGTTTTGAGCACAAGTTCGGAAATCTTGTTCAGAGTTCTATCCTGTTTGGCAGATTGGTTTATCAGAGTCCGGAGGAAATTCGGACTAAAGATAGCATTGACCTGGTCTGGTGGTAATTGAGGACTTTGGATTAAAAATCTGAACAGCTCAAACCCGGTAAATTTCCTCTCGGGAGAGGCTGAAAGTGCAAACAGCTGTTGATCAACTCCAGCTGTCCAAAGCTCGTGAAGCTTAATCTTTTCTGTCACCGTAACCTTTTTGGCCTTTTTATTGGACCCTTTACTGGATCCCTTCTTTCTCTTCTTGGAGTTCTCATCCTGAAAAATCTCGACATCATCTTCAATATCACCAGCTATAGTCTCAGCAAACAGTAGCTTCCAAGAATGCGGTATGGCAGTGGTCCAGTTACTCTTTTGTTTCTGTGCAGTCTTTTCTCCGTCCTCGGAGTTTTCCACAGGGGCCTCTTTGAGGATCTTTGCTAATATCTGCAGGTTTGGTCTCAATGTGGGGTCACCTCCCTTCCAGAAGGATCCACCCTGCAAATCGAATCCGGCCCTTTCGCCAGCTATTGGCCTGAGAGCAGCTGGAATGGTGAGGTATATCAGCAGTCCTTCAGTGGACAGCGTCAAACCAGCTTCATGAATTTGAACCAACAGCTGTGAAAGTGCTCTTTCGAAAGCTGGAATTGCAACAGATTGTGAGACAATATGATAGCGTACCAGTGCCTGTTGAATTGCAAAGAAAACGGCCTCTCTGATCCAAGGCTTGGCTAGTGACAGAAAGATCAGCTCCTTGTTGATTTCAATCAGAGTTTCTGTAGCTCCATTTTCCAGTGATTTTCTCATGAACTCCGAGTTCAACAAGGCCTGTAATCCGAACAATCTGCCGAAGAGCAGAGCACGTTCGGAGCGTCCGTTATTCTTCGAGGTGGTCGAGGCCAATTTCGAATCCAGATCCCTGAAAAATTCGTGAGTGGTGAACATGTCTCTTTCCTCCATCAGTGAAATTATCTCTCCCAAACACATCGAAAATCCGATGCGTGCAGCCGCTCTGGTGGACGAAAGGCCTTTGATAAGACGGTCGTAGGCATAGCTCCAGTCAGCATCGCTATTGGCGGCGTTTAACTCATCCACAAGCGCCACAGCCGCTTCAATCCTTTCCTGCTCAATCTCAGATGCAAGACGGTAATAATGATCTTTTGAAACGGGCATTTTCAAGGTATTTGGACTCAGCGACGGGAGGTCCATTCAGCGTCTCCTGTTCTCTGATAATGGAAAAAAAATTGGATGCCTCATCGGGGCCTCGCAGCAGTGGGAGCGACGCCCGGTTATCGGGGGATGAAGCACATTGAACTGTCGTGTTCTAATCGGTTTCTCATACCCATATTTACACTGTGAAGAGTTAGTCAGAGACCGGGAGCTCCGCTTCTTCTAATTTGTCGAGCTGGATTGGCTTCAACGTCCTGGTCAAGAGCTACCAGAGGCTAGTCAATCTACAAGTTGCACTACTTTCACTTAACCAATTGATCATATAACACACAAAATGTCATCTTGGCAAAAGGCTGGATTCTCGTGAGTATATTTTGCAGCGCTTTTTCTGGGTATTCGGACAGAATCGCCAAACTCGGTAACAGTCCTCGGTGACGATATCGGCGTTAGCGTTTACACCACCCATGAACAATCCTTGAACCTTTTAACTGACGAAAGAAATAGTTTCAACAAGTACTTGTCGATTGCTGCTAGAACTGTGCGCAGATCCCTTAAGGAGGATCTGAGAGTCGCCAGTGAGAAAAGAGACTTTGTCGAGGCCAAGGTCCAGGTTCTCGAGAACGGTTCTGTCACCAAGACCACCGATCTGTCTCTGACCAAATAAGATGTTTACTCGATCGCTGTTGGTTGAAACATGATGAAAAATCAACCAAAAAAAGAGCATCAATGCGAAGTCATGGTGCCAGTCTCGGCTGGTCCAGGCCGCTTCTGCGTTTGACTAGTTTAACGAACCAATTATACAATTAGACGTTTCGAGGTTGTAGATATTACTCCCAGCAGTTCCTGCTTCACGTTTTCATCGGTAATGCGCAATTATCCTCAGTGTTATCTCATTTCTCCGATCCTTGAATTCCTCGTTCTGAAGCAAACTGCCACTCTATGCCGTACCAATAGCCTGAGCACGACATCCGGTTGGACACCTTTCAATCAGTCACAGGCCGATAAGTGTTTTCTGTCCTCAAACCACCGTTAAACGTGAGATTCACGAGTCCAGGCCATGAGTGGGTTGTTCTTTAGATCTTGCAGGTTTGGCTTAGATGCCTTAATTATACCGAAGAGGTCCGTCCTGGGACCTTTGAGGCCACTGAATACCAGGATGTTCACACATATCAGCCCTGCTGGCTTCAGCCTGGCAAAGATTAACCACACAAGTTCGAGTTTTGGTCAACTGAAATGCAGAAATAATTTTGATGTGCGGTTTATTGGATTTGCACATTTATTTGGAGTAAGAGGCTTTTCGTCAACCATTCGCGTTTGTGCTGAAGTCAAGACTGGCCATGAGGACGACAAGAAAAGTTCCTCTTTGCTGCCTCACGCAGCGACCACAGATATAGAAGCTGCTGTTTTAGAGGAGCAGCAGAAATCAGGTTTCAAGGAGGTGTGGAGACTTTTGAAGTTGGCGAAGCGCGATTCGCGGCTTTTCGGAATAGCCATAGTGTTTCTTTTTCTCAGTGCTGCAATAGTCATGAGTCTTCCGAAAGTCACAGGAGAGATACTGGATGCCACTCGAAAATTTGCTGATCTCGAGTCTATTGAGCTCTTTGGGCTTACTTTGAACGAGTTTTTGCTGGCCATGGGGTTGCTGTTGATCGTCTCAACGGCAGCCACGTTTGGGAGGATTATCATCCTGAGAGTGTTGGGAGAGAGACTTGTGGCCAGGCTCAGATCCAGCATCATGAAAAGAACATTGACGCAAGACATGGAGTTTTTTGATGTTCACAAAGTGGGTGATCTTATCTCCAGACTGTCTGGGGACGCCTATGTGGTCTCCAGATCCGTGACTCAAAACCTTTCAGATGGAATCAAACACACCATTGTAGGTTGTTCCGGTATCACGATGATGTGCTTGTTATCCATGAAGCTTTCTTTTGTCATATTGGCGTTTGCTCCTCCGCTGATATGGGGTTCCTATGTTTATGGCCAGAAAATACGAACTATCTCGAGGTCTTTGCAACAGGCCGCTGGTATGCTATCCAAAACTGCTGAGGAAGAGCTGAATTCCATCAAAACAATCCAGTCTTTTACGGGAGAGGGGAAGGAGTTGCACAGATACAACAGTCAGGTCAGAGACGTTTATAAAATTGGATACAAAGAGGCTTTGACGAATGCCACATTCTTCGCCTCCACTGGAATCATTGGAAATGTCACATTCCTGCTGATTCTGGGCTATGGAACTCACCTGGTGATGAAAGGTTTCATGACTGTGGGTGATCTTACTGCCTTTATGCTCTACACCGAGTATGCTGGTGGTGCCGTTTTCGGTCTGGCCAACTTCTACTCGGAGCTCATGAAGGGAGCCGGTGCATCTTCACGTTTGTTCGAGCTCTTGGATAGGAAGCCTGTGATAGAACAGTCTCTTGGAAAGAAGCTGAAAATCACCCGCGGTGAAATCGTTTTTGAAAATGTGTCGTTCTCATACCCTACCAGACCAGACAACCAGATCTTTGACAAGTTGTCTTTCACAATAGCACCTGGTCAGAACGTTTGCATTGTGGGTCCATCTGGTCGCGGAAAGTCTACCATTGCGTCGCTTTTGCTGAGATTCTACAATCCTACTGGTGGACGAATTCTCATAGATGACCAAGATATTACAAAATACAGTGTAAACTCGCTGAGACGAGTCTTAGGGGTGGTTCAACAAGAGCCTGTCCTTATCTCCGGAACCGTTGCTGACAATATCCGCTATGGAATCTCCAACTCCAGCAAAGTCACTAACGAGGAAATGATAAGCGCTGCCAGAAAGGCAAATTGCCACGAGTTTGTGTCCGCATTTACAGATGGCTACGACACCAATATTGGACCGCGTGGTTCTCTACTTTCCGGTGGGCAGAAACAACGTGTTGCTATTGCGAGAGCTCTTTTGAAGAACCCAAGCATCCTGATCCTGGACGAGGCCACTTCGGCACTAGACTCGAAATCTGAACACGCAGTCAACTACACTCTCTCGAGGCTCATGCGCGACAAGTCTCTTACCACAATCTCAATTGCACATAGACTATCCACCATTGAAAGGGCAGATTACGTCTTGGTATTGGGCTATGATGGCAAGCTTGCTGAGTACGGAAAGTTCAAGGACCTTTACAGCAACAAGGATTCGCGCCTATTCAAACTTCTCAACGACGAAGCGAGAAAGGAACAAGTGGAGAAGAGTGAGAAAGATGCCGTGGCTGCCGCTGCCAAGGTTAAACTTGCTGATCTCAATAAGCTGCGAGGAGAGGAGCAGGAGCAGGAAATTCTCTCTACAGCGGAAGGAATCTCACAAGAAGACAAGGATGAGGCCGAAAGAGGTGTACAGAAGATTAGAGATGAGATTATAAGCAAGGAGAAGGAGATTTTGGACGACAGATTTCTCAAGAACAACATTGACGTGCCATTGCCGGACCATCTCAAGTTCGAACAGCTTGTCAAAGACCATTCCACCCGCACGAACTCGCAGTGAGGTTTTTCAGTGATGTTGGTGCTGGCACCACAGAAATATACAAATTTATAGACAAATTATTCTGAGGATCTGTAAATAAGACGATGATATGACAGAAGAGAACAGTGCAGTGCAGTAAATCGTGGGGAGTGAAAAGTTTGGGAGTGTGATACCCAATATTCCCAGAACGGGATAAACGTAAACATCCATCTCAATACACAGTTCGAGGCCAACTTATTCTTGGAGACAAACTGGCAGGACGATATCGAACGCTATTTGGAGTCACTTTTCCTTAGATTGGCTCAGTTATACTGCTTATACTGAACAACAACAGCCGTGCAAATGTCTGAGACCGTCGTGCCTCTTTCTCGGTTGTTGAGAGTAGCGGTGCAGGTCTCTGTGTTCGAAGAGCTTTCGAATCTGAAACAACTGGAGGAAACAACTTCGGAAACATTGCTCAAACATGATTTACTAAAGACGGAACAGAGTCTCAGTGAAATGGTGGCGTATTTGAATCGGCTACTTGAGGCCTTCCAGGGTATGCAAGTTCAACTACAAGAGAGTCTTGATTGGATATACGAAGGAAGAAGTGAAGTCTACGAAATAAATCGCAATTTGGATATAATCGATACTATAGTTGCAGATCTGGTGGTGATAGTTGAGACTAAACTCTCTAGCAGCCCTGATGAGGCATCCGAGCGGTTCACCGATGTATTGGTGTCGCTGTCTGACATCTGCGAGTTGTCCTTGAAAGTGAAAAAATACTCATTGGTGCTCAAGAAGAAGGCTGATATGTCTGCACAGTATCACGAGCTCAGAAGTGGGGTTCTGGGGTCGATTGGTACCGAAATCGAACAATGTTTAAAGGATTCCCACTCGATACACGAAACAAGACTTTCGTCACCAGTTAGGCGAGTCCCACAATTTACACTGGAAGACCTCACTCAGAAGATGAAACCCCCGGGCAACGCCTCTTTGAGCTCTCTGAGATTGCCAACTTTTAATGAAATTGACGAATTGTTGTATACCCAGTTCCGGAATCTGGAGTCGAGGCTGAGTCCCCTCAATGCCTCTCTTATATTCGTTCCACAGGCGCTTGAACAGTTCAGTGTTTCTGCTCTTGAGTTGTACCCGGATTCGATATCAGAGCTTCTTGATGCCTACGAAGGACTCAGGAAGAAGTTCGCGGTTCTCAGCGACGAAACGGAGCAACTACGAATTGAGCTGGTACAGCAGAGATGGCTCGAGATTTTTGGTCATCTGATTGCCGAAGTGGCTCTCATGATGGACGATGTTGAGAAAGAGCTTAGAAATTCTGATGGACAGATATCACATGTGTGCAGCTACAAGATCGAGACGATAGACGAGACTTTGGATATATTAAAGCGTGCAGTAGCAGAGGGACTGATTGAGAATAGCAGTATCAACCATGACAAAAACACGCTCATCAAGAGGCTTTTCACTGTGAAGGACCAGGTCTTCCAGATAGAGAAGTCTGCCGGAACCGGGAGTCGACATTCTTCTTACGAGCTCGAAGCCAGTCCTGCTGATGTTGCCATAGAACCCAGCTTCTTGAAACGTCCAGACCAAGCAGGGTCCTCCAGGGAAAAGAGAAGGGTCTCACTGAAAGCAGGAAGCTCATTTGCAGCCTCGATGAACCTGAAACCCATTTTAATTGAACACAACCCAGTCTCTCCAGATAGAGAACCTGAAAAGACTACGCCGAGTCGCCCAGCGCTAGGGGAGACCTCAAGACACAACATTCTATCATCCGCAGATCACAAGTTACAGCAGGACGGAGAAGATTCTCTCGCCTATGGAATTCAACGAATGAGTCTTCACAAAGAAGCAGCAACAAAAACCACTATCCACACACCCTTAAGAAAAGGTGAAGACAATATATTCTTGACGCCTGCTCTTCGTTCGCGGTATTTAAGGCGCCAATCCATGATCCCTGTGCCGACACCACAGAAGAGTGTTGAACGATCAGGCATCAAGTTCTCGACAAGACCTGCAGATTCCACGAGAAAATCCCGAATCCCAGTTCCTACGGGCTCGTTGGTGAGGCCTGGTTCCAGAACAGCAAATCAGCAGACGGCTCAAGGACTCAAAACTTCACACAAAACGCCCTCCAAAACACCTAATCAGAGACCAGAATCATCACTTCAAAGACCAGATTCAGCCACCAAGTCGAGAATACCGCAGCTGACCCCAATAAGACAATCCATTCCGGTCCGGAGTCTTTCTGCACTAGCGGTTGCCAGGGAAAGAAGCATTCCACGAGCTCGCAAACCTTCTGAAGACGAATTCTTTTGATTGCCATAATTTTGTACAAGTAAACCAATGGATAAGTCACGATGTCATAAACCGTACTGAGTATTGAATCCTATACATCTCTCATTTATCACCAAAGATTCTGGTTATCCACCTACTCTTGTGAACTGCCATTTTCTCCTCTTCGTCAAATTCCCTTATAACACCAGTTCTGGGATTATATTCACCAACCTGGATTTTCCTCTCGCCTCCTTGGAAGTATCTCCTGTAAAGTTCCAAACCTGGGAATATGATGAGAGGAATGCTGACGATAATCATTTGCAGGCTTGTAGCATTAGTATCCCAGCCCCAAATTCGGAGAAAAAAATCAACCACTTACCCTCTGCCACGCATCATAACCTCCTTCGGCACTTTTTTCATATCCATGTTGACAGGATTATGTGTAAACCTTGAGGCTAAAGAGTGACGGTAAAGAAGGTATGAGAGAGAGAGGGTAGTTTTGAGTGTTGAACCTCTTCTCTAATCTTAGCACCGCACGCACCTTCAGAACGACCCAAACGCTTCTCCACAGAAAGGCACTCAACACCCTCTGAAGTTTACCTGGTAGCTGATAATAACGGTGTGTATTTAGTCACAACATCTGAGCTCCAAAAAAATTGAATCACTTCGTTTCTCACCCTCCAGAAATCAAAAAAAACAAACTGGACGAGACCGGAGTCGAACCGATGACCTTTCACATGCAAAGCGAACGCGCTACCAACTACGCCACACGCCCTGGCAATCACAATTTTTCAAAAACTCGCCTTAAGTACCTATTGTTTCGTGTATTAACCAATCTAGACTGGGAACCACTCTCGCGGTGTCAGCATCAAGACTTCCCCCATCAACGCTTGCAACTCTACAGAAGCTGTACATCTTTCCAATTAATTCATTGTTGAAATGGCCGGTTTAAGTTTTGAAAACTATCAAAGAAACCAGTTCTTGGCCGCAAAAGGCCACGGTGTCCCCAAGGCGACATCTACCGGTACGACCATTGTGGGATGCAAGTTCAAAGGTGGCGTTGTGGTATGTTACCGTTATTAAAACTTCTTGTATAGGGAATCCAGACTAACTCAATTGCTTGTTTTAATAGATTGCTGCTGATACTAGAGCCACTTCAGGTCCTATTGTTGCTGATAAGAACTGTGAGAAATTGCACCGTCTGTCCCCAAAGATATGGTGTGCTGGAGCCGGTACTGCAGCAGACACAGAAATGGTAACGGCGCTGATATCATCCAATCTGGAGCTACACTCCATGTCTACCAGTAGGGCGCCTCGTGTGGTTACCGCTCTTACAATGCTAAAACAACATTTATTCAAGTACCAAGGTCATATTGGAGCGTATCTGATTGTTGCTGGTGTTGATCCAACTGGTTCTCACTTGTTTTCAGTCCAGGCCCATGGTTCTACGGATATCGGGTTTTACCAATCGCTAGGATCAGGATCATTGGCCGCCATGGCCGTTCTGGAAAGCAACTGGCATGAAGATCTGGATAAGGAGGGAGCCATGAAATTATGCTCGGATGCTATCCAGGCAGGTATCTGGAACGATTTGGGTTCCGGTTCGAACGTGGATCTGTGTGTCATGGAGGTTGGTAAGGATGCTGTTTTGTACAGAAACCACTTGACACCAAATGTGAGAGAGCAGAAGGCCAGTTCCTACAAATTTGCCAGGGGAACCACTGCCATTTTGAAAGAGGATATCTTTAAGTTGATTGACGTTGAGGAGGAGACAATCCATTCCGAGGCTATGGAGGTAGATGCTTGAATAGAAGAGAGAGATGGAAAAGAAAAATCATGAATGAAGGTGTGGACGATAGTAGGAGGTTGTAGTGAGGCTTAAAGGAGCCCGAGAAAGGTTAATTTCACCATTGTAGGTAGATCTCAATTCTCTAAAAAGCGATAAGAAATATCTTAGTTGGACGATAAAAGACCCAGCTGCAAATTAAACTAAATAGCATATCATACTAGAGGGTCTTGCTTTGGCAAGTTTCAGCACCAGAACCCCCACTTAACTTAATCCACTCTGACCAGCTCCTTCAACGCCTTCACGGTTCCATCCACAATAGCCTGGTGCTCTAAAGCATGTATTCTCTGTTCCCACGATTCCAGTGTTTCTCCCTTAACAACGTCAATCTCACGCACCACCAGCGGTTGGCCTCTGTCGACCTCCTTGATAACCTTATGGATCATACACCCACCCTTAGCTACGGTCCCGTTCTGACCAGCCTCATAGCTGCGCTCGATAGCGTTGATTCCCTCAAAAGCCCCAGGCAAAGATGGGTGGAGGTTGATTATCGGTATGGAAGCATTTTCGAGTGGTTCCAAAAAGTCCTCGGACAAAATTAACATCCAACCGGCACACACGATAAGGTCCGGCTTGACCTCGTTTATGATCAGCGATACGAGATCGCGGTTGAACTGTGCACGAGCAGCTTTTCTGCCTGATACGTCTTCTTTGGGCACTCCGGTGTAATACTCCTTCAGTGCATGGACTCTGGAAGGAATCTTGGCCTCAGCAGCTCTCTCGAGTCCGTATGCCTTTGCGCTCGAGGACACCACAGAGACGATCTGGCCAGGGATGATTCCGTCAGCAGAACGGTCGATAAGGGCCTGCAAATTCGATCCGTTGCCGGAGATGAGAACGAGAATCCTTGGGAGTGCCATTCCGGTGTAATATATAGAGGTTTTGAATTAGAGCTAAAGCAATGTAGAGGAGATACGTTAAAGTCTGGAGTGAAAAATCATGTACGTCTTTTGGTCACGTGAATGACTCTGTTAGCGGGCTGGGCTTTTTGGAGTCGCGATTGTGGTCCATGATTGGATTTTTTTTGAGATCAGACATGATTGGAGGTGGTGTTGAAGTCAATTGAGTGGGATTATGAAGTATTACTTTGAACTCACAAATAAAAATGATGGAGTGTTGGCCATTCGGATTTCTCTCTGTGGTACAAAATGAAAAACTTTGGATTTTCAGGTAAATTGAAAAATTGGAGATTTCACACCTTGCCATGAAATATTAAGAAGTCCACATTTACATGCATAGTTTTGGATTTTTTATATATAACGATATTTATATAATTAATTCAAGTCTATTCAGACACAGCCGTTTATATTTATAAAAGCTTTATAGTTGGTGGAATGACGAGTTTGCTCCTAGCTCTCGTTATACCCCTTCTCCTACATCTCGTCTGACTACTTTCAAATTTCAAACTTGTTCTATAGTTTGCTTAGATGGTGTATATACTTCGAATCGATGCTCACTTAGAGAAGAACCTCTGGGGTCAATTTCGTTTTTGTGTGGGAGTGATTATTCTTCGTTAGACCTTACAAGTGGCTGATGACCTGCTCGGTGAAGTGGGAGGTCGAGGCGGAACCCTTGAGGTCCTTGGTTCTGTTCTCTGGACCAGAGGCAATGGTCTTAAGAACGGCACCCTCGATCTTGTCGGCGTACTCGTTCAAAGACATGTGTCTCAACATCATACACGAAGAGAGCAACAGGGCAGTTGGGTTAGCAAGACCCTTACCGGCAATGTCTGGGGCAGAACCGTGGACAGCCTCGAAGATAGAAACGTTGTCACCCATGTTACCAGATGGGGTCAAACCAAGACCACCGATCAGACCGGAGGACAAGTCGGACATGATGTCACCGTACAAGTTAGGCATGACCATGACGAGGTCCTTGTAGTCAGATGGGTCGGTACACAGCTTCAGGGAGGTGTTGTCGAGGATCTCGAACGAGACCTTGACATCTGGGTACTCCTTGGCCAGGTCCTCGGCAACCTTGACGAAAAGACCATCGGAAAGCTTCATGATAGAGGCCTTGTGGACCACCAGGATGTGGGGCTTGTTGATGGATCTGGCGTACTCAAAAGCGTAACGGATCACTCTCTCGGAAGCCTTGCGGGTGATCAACTTGATGGACTGGACAACGCCTGGAACAATGGTGTGTTCGATACCGGAGTATTCACCCTCTGTGTTCTCTCTGATAAGAACGGTGTTGACGTTCTCGTAAGGGGTCTCGTAACCAACGATAGACTTACATGGTCTAACATTGGCAAACAAGTTGAAAGTTCTTCTGAGGGTCAAGTTGAGGGAAACGTGACCCTTTCCGACTGGAGTAGCGAGAGGACCCTTCAACGCGACGAGGTTCTTGTTGACGGACTCAATGGCAGCCTGTGGAATGGTGGTCTTGCCATTGACAAGGATTGGGGTCACATCAACAGGCTCCCAGTCGACAGGGACGTTGGCGGCAGAGTAGATCTGCTTGACGGCCTCAGAGATCTCAATACCAATACCGTCTCCCTCGATCAAGGTGACGGTGTACTTGCCGTTGGCGTTCTTGACACCGTTAAACTTGGCCACCGAGGTGGCGTAGTTTCTGAAGGCTGTTCTCAATGGGACTCTGGCGTAGGATCTGAACATATTTGTTGCGTACCTGGGGGTTGTGGAGAAAAAGATGTGGTCGACGAGAAGGAGGTTGTGGTTGGAAAAAAACGGCCACTCGGGCAGATCAAAGCTGCCAGTGCGTAAGCAGGTTCGCAGCCGATTTCGGTTCCGGGGGAAATTGGGGTGAGCACTACCATTGTGTGAGTGACCTGAACTGGCTGGACACTATATGGAGTGCGTGTGAGATGCGGAAAGAATGGTTGAGACGGTGAAAATTGAATGCTATTGTAGATGGAGTTGAACTCAGAACTGGCTAGAGAATTGTAGTGGTCATCATACTATCATGGTTATGTTCATGAGTATGATCATGAGTATGGAGATGGGTTTATCTCTGACTATCAGTGGCTTTGCTCAATGCTCATCGACATGTTTGCATAAAGTGTAATGTGCGACAAATACTACAATTCTGGTCACTCCCTTTCATAGTCTTCTTCTTCTTATTCTCTTCGTCATTTATTCTTCCTAAACACTGGTAAACAACATCCACACACCCTTCAGATACCCGATGATTTCGTCTCCCCCAAGCTTACTCTCACCATACAATCTGTCCACGAATGAGATAGGCACCTCGCCAATGGTGAAACCCTCGCCTCTGGCACGAACCATCATCTCCATCTGAAAAACATAGCCCTTCGATTTGGTCTTGTCAATGATAGTCTGCAACACAGGCTTTTTGTATAGACGGAATGATCCCGTGAGATCAGACACGTGTGGCCGCAGCACGACAGTGGCCAGAAAGTTGGCTCCACGGGAAATCAGCTTACGCTTGAGGTCCCAGCCATAGACACCACCATCACCGGCATACCGTGTTCCCGTGACGATATCGTAGTCGCGTTCTTTCTGCTTTGCGATGAACTGTGGAATCGCGCTAGGATGATGGGAGAAATCAGCATCCATAATCACCACGAAATCTCCGGTGACGTATTTAAGTGCATGCACGTAGGCGGTTCCCAGTCCAAGTTTACCAGCACGGGGTCTCAGTTGGATGTGGTCAGCTCCGTACAAAGTGATGAGCTGCTTCGCAATCTCCTGAGTTCCGTCTGGAGAAGCATCGTCCACAATGACAATCTCCCAGTCAATGTTGCTGAAACGGTTAATAATAAGCCAAAAAAATGAAGAAGTCAACGCAAACAGCTTGTTCACTCACTTTTCCTTGAAGGTCTTTGCCAGAAGATAGACAATGATGGGTAGGTTCTGCAACTGTTAGTACAAGGTCCAGCCTGGGCATGGCATCGGCACACTTACCTTCCTCTCGTTGTATGTGGGCAATATCACAGAGTATTTGTCGATTGTCGCAGCCATTGTGTTGATTCAGAGCGTAGAGCTGTTTGGGAATGGTGCAGGAGGCCTGAACGATTACGTGTCTGGAAGTCTGTCAATTCGAATCGGGCGTGTGAAATCATCTGCCATTCACCACGGGCGTCTTCAGGTTATCTGCCATTCACCAACGGGTGCACGCTTCAATTACCAGCGAGATTTCAGACAAGACATACAAGACTCGTTCACTTAACCCTGGATTAAATACAATCTCACGTCGCAATGGGGGGCTTTGACGCGCATCTTAGGCGTATCCTAGGCAATGAAGCCCTGGAAAAAGTTAAGAAGTCACGTGTCCTGCTTGTTGGCGCCGGTGGAATCGGGTGCGAGCTTTTGAAGGACCTCATTCTTATGAACTACGGAGAAATCCACGTGGCCGACCTTGACACAATTGACCTATCTAACTTAAACAGACAGTTTTTGTTCCGTCAGAAGGATATCAAGAAGCCCAAATCCCTGACGGCAGTTAAAGCTGTCGAATCGTTCAATCATGCGTCCAAGTTGGTGGCATATCACGGAAATATCACTGACGCAAACACTTACCCACTCGACTGGTTCTGCCAGTTCGACACCATTTTCAACGCGTTAGATAATCTTGAAGCCCGTGTGTATGTCAACCGCATGGCCCTTTTTGGTAATATTCCCCTGATGGAAAGTGGGACCTCCGGTCTGAATGGCCAGGTGCGACCCATTCTTCCTTACCAATCAGAGTGCTTTGAATGTACACCGGTAGAGGCTCCCAAGACGTTTCCCGTTTGCACAATTCGTTCAACTCCATCGAAACCCATTCATTGTATCATCTGGGCCAAGAACTTTTTGTTCTCGCAACTTTTCGGTGAAGATGGAGAGCAGGAACAGCTCAGCGCTGCTGATCTGGATACTGAAGATGACGCTGAAGTTGAGGCCTTGCTTAAGGAAAGCAACGAATTACTGGATTTGAAGCGGTTAATAAAGGAGGCTGGTGAGACCAGCAATGATGAATTTGTCTTTTCCATTGTCACTAAGATTTTCAAGGAGGATATAGAAAGACTTTTGCGGATCCAATCATTGTGGAAAAGCGGAGCCAAGCCAGAACCACTCGATGTTGACTCTACCAGGTTGCAGCTTCAAGATGTTTCCTCAGATGTCCTCGCCAATGACCAGGGAGTCTGGACTCTTATTGAGAGTCTTTATGTCCTCGTGGACTCCACCAAGCGACTTACCAAAAGATGGGCTTCTGAAAGAAACATTCCCTTCGATAAAGACGACAAAGACACTCTCGATTTTGTGGTTGCAGCCTCGAATCTCCGTTCATACTGCTTTCATATTGAAGCTCTTTCAAGGTTCAAACTCAAGCAAATAGCAGGCAACATCATTCCTGCCGTGGCCACTACGAACGCCATAATGGCAGGACTCAGTTGTTTGCAGTCGATCAACCTTCTTACCGCAAATCCCTTTACACAGCTACGTATGGCATTTGACTCTAACTACCCTGATCGATTTGTTGTTCCGTCTTCTTTATCAAAGCCCAGCCCAGCTTGCGGTGCATGTTCGCTAAGACGCGGCGTTTTAAAACTTCATCCTACCTCAACTTTGGGGCAGGTTCATGATGCCATAGTGGAAAAGTACAAGTTTCCAGACGACATCTCGATTATCGCCAAGTCCCGACTCATATACGACGATGACTTCGATGACAATCTTGTCAGGACCGTTGAATCACTTGGAATCGGATTGGGAACTACGCTGTTTGTGTCTGATCTCGACGACGACTTTGAGGGAATCGCTCTGTATGTTACCAACGGTACAGGTGAAGGCAACGATGTTGAGTGCGCAACAGACTTCGAGCTCGTTCCCAAACGCGAGCCTGCAACTGCTGATGAGGGTGTTGATGACGATTTTGAGGAGATTGTTGATGACGATCTAACAGTAATTGAGGACAGGAAACACACTTTAGACGCCAGTGAGGAGGGCACGCCGAAGAAGGTCAAAAGGAGTTGAAAAATGGTGAAAACAGCTGATTCACAAGCATGATTTACATAGTTAATAACACGATACAACGGGTGAGTAATAACTCGAGAAAGTGACAAATGTCTAATTGTTCATGAGGGCCTTTCCTGGAGATACAGCAGGCGATAAGTCAGCGCGGCGTTTTGGAGATAGCGACAATCCAACGAAATCATCAATACTTGATGATCTTCCACGAGGCTCCTTTGGACTAAGAAACCCCAGTAACCTGCCGATACCATGGGGAGGGCTAGCAGGCTCGTTTTCGTCTGTGTGAGCCCCGGAGGAGTCCGTGCGCTTGCGCCTGAAATAGCTTCTTGAGTGTGACGAAGTGCCAGGCGATAATCGTGGCGAGAGGAACGGATCCGTTTCAGAAACCGGTTCGGATAACTGAGCCTGAGCAGAGTCCGCTGGTAGCTCGACTTGAGCGCTCTTCGTGATGTCAGGAAGGGCAGAAGGTTCAGTATCGGAAACCTCGGATTCCGTAACTTCTGGGTTCAGCTGTGTGGAGCTACTATTATTGATGCTTCCCGAAGAAACGCTCAGCTTCTTGGCTTTGGCATCGATCACGTCAGGTGGCTGTGTCACGCTTGGTAACGACCTGCTATGCTTGCGAGTAGTGCGAGAGGCTTGTGGTGGGTATGAGATTGCCGAGGCAACCTGTGTGGTTTGCAGATTAAGATTTTGGGCAGCAGGTAACAACTTGTAACTGTACTGAGTCATGAACTCAACCACAAGGCGCGAAAGCTCATATTCCTCTGGAGACATATCGTGATCCGAGTGAGATAAAATTGACGGCTGGAACACGGCAGCGAGGTTGCGCGCGGGCATCAAATTTTTATCTGCATGGTAATTGAATAGAGCCAATAGATCGAGAATGTAGAATAGCAGATGTCTTGAAGATTCTGGAAGCTGGTCCAGAAGATTGGCGTATTCTTCGAGTGCACCATTACGGTCCGCGACAAATTTGTCATGCTTCCGTCTGGATTTTGACTCTGTCTCTCTCTCGGGTTTAATTGTCTCAGCAGATGCAGTAGGAGTTTCTTTTGCAATCACTACCGTGGTTTCAGAATCTGGCTCAGTGACTGTGATCAAGCTCGGGTTCTCAGCCAGTACGTTATTCGATTCCAGTTTTGGCGCTAGCACCTCTTCTTGGTCTTGTTTTTGTTCTGTTTCTTGGTCTGGCTCTGCTTCTTGCTCGGAATCTTGCTCAGGCTCTGACTCAGGCTCTTGCTCTAGCTCTTGGTCCAGTTCTGATGCCGCTTCTGCCTCCTGCTCTGGTTTCGCTTCTTGCTGTGGCTCAGACTGCAATTCAGATTGAGGCTCGGTATCTGACTTCTTTTGTTCTGTTTGAGATTCCGTTGCTTTCAAAGGTGTTTGTTCTGATTGTGGCTCTTCTGGGGAAGCTTCAGCCGTGGTCTCAGCTGTATCATCTTGCGCAGCCGGAATTGCCTTTGGAATCAACGGCTTGTTCCTGCTCTTCAGATATTTACAGATCCTAGGACGACGTCTCAACGGATCTCTAAACTTCTCATACATATCGAACGGCACCAGGGGTTCCGGCAGAGATCCAAGAAAGCGGCGCAGCAATGACGCAGCGTCATGGACGGTATAACCCACCCAATCAACACGGCGACCATACTCGGGCTCGGTTGAGAAAATGATTTGGAGCTGTTTGATTCGCTTGGAAGAACCTCCAATACGGAAGATTCCTTCAACATCTAGCGCCTCCTTCTTGAGATAAAGGCCACATAACGCAACAACTATTGGAATTCTTCCATATCTCACTAACCCGTCACTTCCAGAGATGTAGATACGGCCTTCAGCGACATCCAAAGATTTCTCCAGCTCAACGCCGAAAACCTTGGAATCTCCAGCAAAATTCTGTTGTCTTGCCGAGAGAAATGAGTCTCGCTGCTGTTTTAACCGATCGGAAGAATCGCTGGGCCGCACCGAGTTCGAAGACCTGGATTTGAAACCAAGGGTAGGCCTTGGCGGCACCAAATTGTCATCGTCTGGGCTTTTTCCGAGGCTCTTGAGCTTTGAGAAGAAATTCTTTGGCAGCGGCGACGATGAGGGCTCTGCGGTCATGACGCGTATGTAATCTGGGCGTACGTATAACTTTGAGGTTTGAGCGCCAAATAAACTAAAAATGTAACTGTCCCCAAAATAGCACGAAGACAATTAACTGGATATAATATCAGCTAAAGTTAGCTGTGGTGGGGGGTGTTGGCTTCTCTTGTTAAACAAACGTCTTGTTTAACCAACAAGGATACCACGAAAAGACGCTGGAGTAAGGCAGTAACGAGAGGATGAAGAGTGGAATGAATAAGGCCAGATGACAGTGAACAGCGTTTTTTCAGTTTGTGTCGAATTTCTGCTTGTACCTCTTCGTTTTTCTTAGAAGAGTGACAACCTCTTGTTTTTAAGTGCAGTAGGTGTCGAATTCTAGGCCTTCTTCTCTGGGGGAAGTTGGAGCTGTTTTGGATTTAGCAAAGTCGAGGGTAAAATCGGCGGAAGTTCGAGGGTAATCGGGGTCACTCCAATCTCTCGAAAGCTGTGATTGTATTCGCATTTTGAGAAGTTACTCAACATGGGAATTATATTTGGGTTTGGCTATTTAGTTTATTATTGTGCTTTTGTAATTCATGATAATTCTGAGTTGAGATTAGGAATTTCGTCCACGTAAGCTCCGCCCTCATCGCGTAAGTCTCTGCCCTGTCTGTAGGGTTGATCGTCAGGGACTAGTTTGAATATCAACGAGAGTCGGAGTTCCATCGCAGACCAACTCCATTCCAGTCGCAGATTCGGACGTTTGGATTTTTCCACATGCTGACCGCAATCAGCAGCGCTAATTTCAGATCTCGAATAGCTTATTGCAAGAATATTTCGACCAACTTTAGGCCTAGGGTGTCTTTCTAAATTTAGCCAGTTTCCTCTTTGGGGTCTCCCAAACGGGACGAACAATCATCTTTGGTTGGAGAACTACCTTTGTATTCACGTGACTGGAAATGTGAGGGTTCATAACCTGCAGACACCTTTAGGACTGGGCACAACATGTGAACAGGCAGCGCTCGCCATGAACGAAGTGATCACAGCTACACTTTGAAACTCCCAGATGGAAGCAATAGACTCAAAGGATAAGAAGGCCACCATTCTTTTGATGGGCCTGAGAAGGTGAGTGAGATATTTAAAGTGTTTCCTGCATGCTCATACTAACTCCACTTTAGGTCTGGAAAGTCCTCTATCTGCAAAGTGGTCTTCCACAACATGCAACCGCTGGACACGCTTTATCTCGAAAGTACCTCAAAGCCCACAACTGAGACGTTTACATCGCTAATTGACCTGGCCGTGATGGAATTGCCGGGACAGCTCAGTTTGTTTGAACCTTCTCTGTACGATTCAGAGAAGATATTTGCCTCTATTGGTGCGCTTATCTATGTGATTGACTCTCAAGACGAATATCTTAGTGCACTCCAGAACCTCGCAGTCATCATCAATTACGCATACAAGATCAATCCCAAACTCCATATCGAAGTGCTGATTCACAAGATTGACGGTCTTTCCGAGGACTTCCGCCTAGACACCCAACGTGACATAATGCAACGAGTCGGTGACGATTTGCTGGATTATGGCTTAGAAGGAGTGCAGGTTTCGTTCTATCTGACATCAATTTTTGATCATTCCGTGTACGAAGCTTTTTCGCGAATTGTTCAGAAACTCGTGGTAGAACTCCCACAGCTAGAGAACCTGCTAGATCTGGTTATGCAGTACTCGGGCTTTGATAAGGTGTTCTTGTTCGATGTCAACTCCAAGATATATGTTGCTACAGACTCGTCGCCAGTGGATATTCAAACGTATGAGGTGTGTGCGGAATTCATTGATGTTACTATTGACCTGGACGGATTGTATGAGCAGTCCGAAGAGGCCTCGCGTCCCACAAAGTGTGTTTCAAGACTGCAGAGTGGGAGTGTGCTGTATTTGCACAGAATGATCCGTGGTTTGGCACTGGTGGCTATCTCCAGTTTTGGAAAGGATGATCCCAGGGCTGAGAATCCAAACGTGAAAAATGCGATTTCAATTATCGACCACAATGTGAATGTCTTCAAGAAGAGTCTAGAGACTATGTGGGAGGGTTCTCGTATCAGGTAGCACTATAGAAAAAGCGTATAAATAAATAAGAACCACAAAAATGGTAAGTGGCATATTAATCAAAAAAATTGTAAGAACTAGGAGGCCATAGGGGACATGGTCCTTTCTCAGTCATTGGATGGCTATAGTGAATGCGTGGAAAGATAAGTGGATGGTTATCAGTCCCTGGCAAGATGTCTACCCAAACAGCTATAATATGGATATAGACCTAATGTTAATTGACAATTACTCTCATTTAACCCAAAAAAATCAGTTTCTACGGAAAAATTCGATTGTTTTCGCCTAAACCTGCCAAATTCATCATATCTCCCCCATTCGTAGTTAACACTATAATTTAACTAGAGATGAGATGCGATGAGCTGAAAAAAAGTTTCACTGCGATTCTTCTTGAACCAGCCTACAACTATGAGCGAACTCCACGACTTGTGCCGCTTCAAGACGAGGCCTTCTGCTGGGGATATAATCAAGCTTCAGGAATATCTGGGTGATGGAATTCCAGCGACATATACCCTGGAAGAGGCATATAATTACGACCACAATATCACCGAGGAACCCAGGTCTACCACCACTCCACTTCACATCATTGCCGAAAATGTTCCATTGAATCTAAGCGAGCAGGAAGAGGCTATTGTTCTTGAGATGGTCGAGAAGTTGTTTTTACGTGGCGCTGGCTGGAATTTGCTTAATGCCAATGACGAGACACCTGCTTGCGTTCTTCAGAGAAGAGGTCTCACGTCGGACGAAGACTGTGGGACGCAATGGTGGAATGCGGGTGTCAGAGCTAGAGATTT